CATTTGGCAATTTTCTCCTCACGAAAAAAAATACGCATAAAACACTATCGCTACAGACATTATGTATAATTTGAAGATACCTTTTAAATCTCAAAAACTAGCGCGCTTGCTCCAAAAAAGTACCTATTTACTTGTTAAATGTTAAAATAAATAAATTTAAAATATTGTTATCCTAAAATTCCTGTTTATCATGAAATAAATGACACGAAGTAATCATGCAATCTATGCATCTGCCATGCTTATTGTTGGTTAAAGATATAAAGAAATTATATTTCCCATGAAGAAACCATCAGGGCAATGAATTCTTCAAAGGCATTTTGTACTGTTTCTCTGGCATTATTTTCGCCAGGCAGTTATACAAATTCTGGAAAAAGTAGAAGTGTGTTAGCGCAAATTCTGGTGCGTACGGTGGATGACGAAGACCATACGACCCAAGCTCTCGTAGATTGAGGAATGGAGAACGTCTGTTGTGCAGAATAAGTTCGCGCGTTGACGAGTTGGCCAAAATGACAATTTTATGGGTAAAGCTAATAATAGCTACAAAATAAAGGCTTAGTGGAGCTTAGTTTTTTTAATTCAACCATTCTTTTGTTAGTAATGGGTACGTAACGTCCTGTCCATACTCGGAAAGTAAAACGCACTGAATTTCATTTTCATAATAACTAATAACAATCCCGGGTTTGGCCGCGAGCCAAAATAACTTCGAGTGACTACCGAGGGTATAATACGAGTATAGGAGGGTGTCATGCCCGCCGTACTGGCGCCAGTCTACCAGTTCAGTCAGTAATGCAAGCTCTGATTTACGTTTTGTTTGCACCTTTGTTATTACATTGTATTATTTTCTTAGGACGCTACATAGTGTTTTTTTTATTAAATATTATAGTTTTACAAAGGCACTTACATAGAAGCAGCATGTAAAAACGTAAAAAGATAATACCTTTTAAATAAAGATAAAGACGAAAATAAGTAGGTAGTGTTCAAACTAACTTAGTAATTTCTCTTGAAACCTCTCAGATAGATAGAAGCAAAATTTGATATGTTTGAAGAGTAAAAACTGAGTGTACCTGCTATTTAATATCATGAAATTATCTTAGCAGCGCTTCAGAGAATCACAGACTTTCGAATGTGTATTTGTTCAGATTAGTACTCTAATTTCAACACATGCCTCCGCGGCGCCGTGGCTTAGTTGGTTAAAGCGCCTGTCTAGTAAACAGGAGATCGCGAGTTCGAATCTCGCCGGGGCCTGCAATTCTCAACGTGGGTTGAGAGACTTTTTGTTGTGTTTATTTTATAAAATTACAAATCCACATTCACATAAGAATGATAATTAAAAAGTAACAATGTAGGTAAAAGAAAGTACAATGTAGGTAATTTAAGTGGATTTATTACAGTGACGCCATGACACGGTAAAACTATCTATTATTCCTTTTAATAAAATAAAGATTAAAAAAAAAAAACTATCTATTATTATAGTGGCCATGATTAATGTTTTTCGCAGAGCTATTTTTGATTTATTGGGCTTGAATTAATCATTGATAAGAAAATGTTTATAATGACGTACCTAATGCAGGAACTTATTTACTATACCCACTGATTAAGAAAGTGGACCTATTATTGTGAGATATTACGATTATTTTCGTGATAGGTGCGTCATCGTTTGATAAGTAAAAATAAGGCCGCTTGTAATTTCAAGTCGTGGGTATTTACTTGCTTAACGCTATGTATGTAGCAAAACAAAACTGCAAAACAGGTACTCAAGTAAGTGTATCTATCTTCTTTACTTATAATAAATCTGTAGAGGTCAATAAAACACACGCACATGAAATAGCTATCACGGGGTGATTAGTGATCGATAATGATGCCAAAAATGTAATCTGTAAAATTTTTATCTGTCTGTATGTCTGCATGTTCCTTATAGAAACAAAAACTACATGACAGATTGTAACGAAACTTGGTACAATTATTATTTATATTTCCTGGGCAGGTCACAGATACTTTTCATCACGCTACAATTAATAGGAGCAGAGCAGTGAAGACAAATTTTGAGAAAACGGGCGAAGTAACTTGCGTCGCGTGTGCAGCCTTAATGGGTAAAGTTACATAGAAATTATGTTCTACATAAAATTATGTACAAAATATGCCACAACAGTATATGTCTATCTTTCATGGTTGGCTCACAATAACACGTGTAACTGATAGCTTAGCAGTTCCGAGCATTTTGATTATATTTGTTTACTCTCACGTTTACGTTACGTTTAGTAGTGGCTGTAGGGCCCCTCGTAAGGTCTGTGGTGGTCGATTGGTTCTTTGCGGTGCGTGTGGAACGCACCTCGCTGGGCCTGGTTCTAGTCTACCCTTTGTACCCTTACTCGTCGTCCGCAAATCCGCGCTTACGGTGGCCGGAGATGATCTCTTCCCTTCGAGTCGACGCCCTTAGGTTACCTACTGTGGCGGCGGCGCAAAGCTCCCTCATGCGCTCTTTGCTCCGAACTATGACCTCGACTAAGGCCGGGCACCTGCATGACACGGCAGGTGAGGACGTCATAGGGGCTCCTCAGGTACCTGAAGAGTGGCTTGAGAGCTGTCTTGAAGAGATGTCTTATCGCTGCTATAACAGCGTGCCCGAAACCATACAGGGGTGGACGGTGGTTTTTAGTTACTTACCTACTAAAAGTCCGACTGTTCCCTACGTCTTCCTCAGGTAGCTTCAAAAGGATTCTCCAAATAGGAAAGGCATACGCATAGGCTGGCTATATCTAATTATACTTAGCAAGCAATCACTAACAAAAATGTATGTCCTATTGTTACGCCTTCGAGTAACCAAGCGTGTATCTCCATATGAGTTACTGTTATTCATTGTTACAAGTTTCGATTATACAGGTAATTAAGTAGGTACCTGACTAACCTAATATGGTCCTTATTCTATTTATAGTATCTGGTTTGTGTTTAAGAGTACCGACAGACTTAACTTCACACACGCAAAGAGTTTTACTACGGAACAGGTCGTCAAACATGCCGACGGATGACCTGATGGTAAGTAATCGGCTCCACCCATGGACACCAAGAGTTACAATTACGTAGATTAGATTGGGAATTGGTTCTGGAATTACATAGATTTGATTGAGCCTCCGTTAATCTCATTGACGAAGACACAATGCGTTGGTTCTCGCTGGTACCAATTCTTTGAGATCGTGGCATTGCTCCAGTGGATATACATATGAAATAGTTACGTGGTAGGTACCTACTTAGACATACATACACACTTATCAAACAACAACTTCTAGACAAAAAAACTCTACAATCAAAAAAGGAAAATGAGATTAGTTTATAAAAGTTAAAGGCGGGTCAACAACCAGACAGGGATGCAATGCAAGTGCTTTGTTCCGACCCTGCGGGGCGCCGCGCCTGGCCGTTTACCCCGAATAATACACTCGTTCACGTGGTGGAGAGTCTATTTCCATATTCCATTCATCAGTACATACATGATATCTTTATTCAGATCAATAAGTACATACTTCATATCTAGGGTTATCTTGAGGACATGCACATGCATAAATAAAAAACAAGGCAATCGTCACTGCAGTTCTATTATATTTAGAGTGGTACGTACTAAGCAGCCTGTAATACAGCGCATTGACTTCATAAAAAAGGTAAATGCACTCGCTTTTAAAGGAGACAGACGGCACATACAGGTAAGTACTTTACCTGAAATCGGTAACTACCCTTAGCACGGAGAAATGAGTTTTCGGAATACATGATCGATTTGCTTTTTATTTTTACATACATAATATTTATATCTAACTTGTTAAAGGATGCCGGTGGTTTAAATACCTGCTTATACAATAATTTTCAGATGAAACGGTATTATATCAAGTAAGTATAGATATAGATATACCATAAAGTAAGGAATGTTGACCCAGGATCAAACGCCCGCGACTTCATTCACTCCTATGTTCCTAAAACAAGTTTTCAGTTGCCGCAAGAACGCGATGGCCTCGAAATGATGATACGTTATGTCAAAATAGATCATATATTTTCATTACTTACACACTTAGCAATAATAAGAATGGAGACATTTTAGGCCTTCACTAATGACTAGTTGAGTATTTAATTTCAGTGGACGGCGTTTACCTTATTATATATGGTCATGACATTTTAAGCTAATCTAGGAAACTGTATTACATAGTCAGTCAATAGCCTATGTAAGTAAACTCTATTTACCTAAACTTACGTACCTAAAAGTTTTTTAAAATATCGAAGGAAAATTAATTGTGTTATTTATTGTGCGTAAAAATGTAGGCGGGAATACTTATGTGAAGGTTTTTCCTTCAAGCTGTTCCTTATTATAGATACTAAGTACCTACTTACATTACATACTTTCTTTAGTACCTACCTACTTAGATTCCTGAATATATTTACAATTGTTCTATTAAAATCACGATTAATAGGTACGTAAGTACATAATATGTCAAGCGTTTGTTTTCGGAGTTACCTACCTACTGTCGGTGCATTTAAATCTTTCATGTTTGTAGTGACGCTCTAATTAGCGTCGCTAATATTAGCTCCAATGGCTATAACTACCATGACTAAACAAGGAAACATAATATTTCAAGGTAAGGATGGAAGAGAAAAATAAACGAAAATGTCGAAATAAGAATCCGTAGGTAGTTGTTAGGAAATACTTAAAAGGACTTTGAAACAGTAATTATAGCAATACGCAAGACTATGCAGAGAAATGTGCAAAACCAGTAACTGTAAAAGTCGTGTAGATACTTTGACCGCACCATGCCCATTATAATTTTCCCTGAGGAAAAAAAACGTCGGACCAACCATTGTGAAATGCAACAAACAACATTCAACAGTTTGTTAATCATAAGAGATGGAACTAAAAATACGTCAAATTAAATGGTTTAGACTTAATTGAGCTTATTGTTGCCCCAGATAAGGAGAAACAAATTACAAAGAACTACGATGATGCATAGCTAGTAAAACGGGTACTACAAGCAAGACAAAGCGAAACTGGCTTTGTATGTATGAGTGGAGTAGTGAATCAGACAGGCCACCGGCCACTGTCGCCGCCTGCACACTTCGACAACAGACCAAGCCAGTCAGCATTCGGCGCGCAGCCCGTTAGCACTGCTATATCGCGCTGCACATTCGAATCATTCGAATGTCAACAAACTTTCACCTCGTCTGTAAACAAACAAAATGTACGAGGAAATTCAATAAATTGTTTTTATTATTTTAATTATCCCTCTTTATTGTTACTTTTTACCCAATTCATTAATCTTAATAAAGTTTTAATTAGTCGCGGTTGAGTGGTTGTTGGTGTTTTTTTTCTTGCCCAATGTGTAACAATTGAAAATATTGCAGTAATAACATTGGATGCTGGAGATTTGTTGGTGTCAAGTTATATTGCATTGGAGCGAGCTGTTTAGAGGATTAAATTGACTGAATGTTCCAATTGTGCTGTGGCTAAATTACTTAACTACCTGCTGGTGATACACTATGGGCAAGGATTATGGTGAGTTTATGTTAGAAAACTCTTTTATAAAAAACTTGGTTTGAAAAGAGATTCGATTTAAAGCTGTTTTAAATGGCTTCGTTCTTTATAATTTTGTGATTTTTATTGCAAGAGCGCGCCTAGAATAATTTCAAGGTAAGAGTGCTATGAAAATCGTGCAGATGCAGTGCAATTCGAAACTTTCCTGCGTAAATAATCTTGTAACAACATAAGTTTTAAATTATTTAAATGAGACTAAACTACTTATTTGATAATCGCATTTGTTATTCGATGCTGTGAGTGTGACCAAAATAATTATAAATAACTATCTACCTACCTCCTACTATTTTAGATTTCTATTTTTGTTGAGGCAACTCGCATTCAAACAAAAAACAAAAAAATTTTGACGTTTGTTCTTGGTCGGATGCACTGAATAGACCTTTTTAGTAGAGTAGGAATTTTTTGGTGTTAAATATCAAAATCCCTTCACAAAGAGAGCGAACGAGGAAGCGTAATTCAATTGAAGTTTATTACAAAAGAGAAGATCACTGAACTACAAAGTAGTTTCTGTGCTTTGAAATACTTTGAATACCAGTATAGAATGGTTAGGTAGGTACTATCGCTATGGGTTAGGTTATGCTACAAACTCCGATACAAATAAACATAACGAATTTTGTATAAACATAAGCACCTTACTAGAACGATGGAATAAAGTGAAAATGTATGAATGTAGGTTTTACGTAATAAATATTAGTTTTAAAACAAGTTGCGTTAGTTACGGTGGCTCTAAATTATCTTTATTTATACGGAGAGGAGATAACCGCGATAATTACATTTGGCGATACCTACATATTTACTCAGTCTCGTATGGAAGTATTAACACTTAAGCGTTTGATATACCTAATGCACACACACACATAATGTTGATACTGTGATACTGTTCTACATGCGTATTTTTTTATCTGCAATGAAGTTTAACATTGATACAATATGGAAGGGCTTGATTATACAGTCAGAAATCGGGCTATGGTCCAATGAATTGTTTCCATGCTTACACTTGCAATACCCGCCGTTATCCATATAGATATTGGAAATATTTAATTAGTCTTGCTAATAGTCCTTTGCACTGTTTCCCAATATTTAGAGAAACTGAAAGATCCGCCCCTTATTCATCATCAACAGACCATTCCGAGGGGATTTGCTTACGCTTATCTTCACGCTTTCCAGGCGAAATATTTTTTCTAGTCTAAGGAGTTACGAGTGCTTTGCCGGCCTTTTTTTTGGGGATAAGGGTTTCGGCTTGCGCCCCCGGTAACCTCACTCACACGATGAAATACAAATCTGTGGTTGTTTCACGGCGGCTTTGTGATATCACTCCGGTCGAACCGAGTTATTCGTGCCGAAGCTTGTCTTTCTCATACTCAATTTGAATTACTCGTAGAGATCGCCGTTTAAAGTTGTCGGTGTCTTGTCTCGACATCAGAGACAAAAGTGACAAAATAATGTAGGTACCGTCAGATTCAGGTGTACTCTTGAAAAATATTGATCAACTTTATTTCAACTATTGTTGCCAAAGTAAATAAAGTAGACTTCTTTGCCATCTATATGCTTTTCAGGAGTGGCCTGCGTGATAATAAATTGTGTGTATGTGTATGCCTATCTATAAATTCGGGGACAGTATTATGGTTTCTGTACTTTCTGAAGCGCAACGTTCCGACTCGATGTTAAAAAAATCTTGTTGCACCTGTGCGGTTGTTTACTGTTCCGAGTGCATTCATTGTTAGCTTAGGTACTTATAATCACTGTTAAGTCAAATAAAGTTTTTTATGGAATATAGTGTACAATACGTGAAAACATTTTTTTTTTTGTTTCGTATTTTGAGAATTCAGAATGGTTTTCATCATATTTTTAAAAAGAATCTTTAAGTTTAGAGACAACTACAAAGCCGTTCAATAATTGAAAGTGTTCGTAACCAACCTCTATAGTTATAAACCGCATTTTCAATTAATTGTCGAGATCCCTGGAGGTCTGGAGGGTAAATTAGTGTGGTTTTTATTGAATAATGGTGGCACCCACACGCTGAGTCAGGTGAGTACGGATCCAGATCCTGCTCGTGACAGTGTTTGATTCAACACTCTTATTATACATCGCGTCACGAAGTTGTAGTGCAGAGGCAAACAACTACATAGATATACTACTCTGTCAAGAAAGTACCGGGAAAAAGTCAATAATACACAAAATGTTTGTTATTCATCTAAATTTATTTTAACACCTTCAAAGTATGCTCCTTCAGAAACGATACACTTACGCCAACGAATAATCCAATCATCGAAACTTTTTTTAAACGCTGTCTCCGGAATTGAGTTCAGTACTCGCCGCGAATTCTCCTTTATGTCTTCTAACGATTGAAAACGACCGTGCCACGAAGGGGTAATTTGAGTGTGGGAAAAAGAAAGAAGTCGGCTGGAGCCATATCTGGTGAATATGGTGGCTGCTCGATGGTATTTGTTGAGTGTTTGGACAAAAAATCGTTTACAATGATGGCCTTGTGCGAAGGCGCATTATCGTGATGCAAAATCCAAGAATTTTCTTTCCACATTTCTGGCCTTTTTCGTCGAATTTGTTCTCTTAAACGCCGCATAACGCTCAAATAATATTCTTTATTTACCGTTTGACCTTCGGGCAAGAATTCTGAGTGCACAACACCGCGATAGTCAAAGAAAACAGTCAACATGACTTTGACTTTTGATCGACTTTGACGTGGTTTTTTCGGTTTTGGTTCAGTTGGAAGGCGTCATTCCGAAGCTTGTTGACTAGTTTGCATGTCAAACTCGTAAACCCACGTCTCGTCACCAGTAACAATGCGTTTCATGAATGTTGGGTCGGTATTGACTCATTCTAGCATGTCCTCAGCGACTTTCATGCGATTTAGTTTTTGAAGAAAATTCAGGTCTTTTGGGACTAGCCGAGCGGCAACACGTTTCATACCCAAATTATTTGTTAAAATGGTACGGATCGACTCGTGAGATACAGAAAGTTCGGCGGCCATCTCTCTCAAACTTGAATGAGGATTTTCAGTCACTATTTCCTTCACTTTTGCGATGTTAACTTCAGTTGCAGACGTTGATGGCCTACCAGAATGAGGCAAATCTTCCATCACATCTCGACCGCTTTTGAACGCTTTGTACCACTCATAAGCACGTGTTTTTGATAAAGTCGATTCACCGTAAGCCTTCTGTAACATTTTGAGTGCCTCCAAACACGAAATTTCATTGGCGATGCAAAATTTAAGACAAACTCTTTGTTCGATGTTTTTGTCCATTATGAAATTAGCAATACACACTAGATATTATAAAACTAAAAACAGCAATGTTTTTAATATAAATAACAGATGCAACTCAAATTCCGCGCCAAAATGGAAAACAGTTATGCCAATCTAACAACTACAAAAAAAAAATAAAATTCGAATTTGGATCCATAAAAAAAACATTCATTCCCGATAGTTTGTTGACTAAATGTATGCTCATCCCTAATAGGGGCCGAGCCAAAACTTGACCGTTCTTCCGAACACAATTGCTTCCGTCCTTCGACAAACTAGATCTTTGTTTTCTATATCTTTTTGTTTTTTTTTGAGATTAAGTAAGCTAGTGTTGACTGTTGAATCTATCTCGTGTGGGCGAATTCATCAAATGTTGTTGCTGTTATGTTTTGCATAATAAACCAGTCAATGTTTTAGATGATAGTCAGCATGGTGGCGCATTATATCCTTTCCTGCACCCATATGTTTCCGCTGACAAAATGGGTCAGATAAGAATTTACCATGAATTTGAATGTCATAGCAATGCCGTGACGAGACCTCGCTCGTATTTGCACTTCGCTTTACAAGTTGCGACACCGGTTCATTTCCAGGGAGAACAACCTTGACAAAATGTATAATTATGAACTTGTACTAATTCTGTTAAATAGGTACCTACCTACGTATCAGGTTTTTTTTATCGCGTATAGGTGAACATTTCGGTAACGTGTTATCGACGTAACAGTAAAATAGAAATCACCAATTATTTATTTGTGTTCGATAGAATATCACTTATTATGTATTAAATAAACTTTTAAACTCAGAGCTAACTCACTTTTTCTCTTTCTTTGTTTCGTGTTACATGATGATATGTAGACTAATTTATTTTACTCATAAAGTCACAAGAAGGCGTAGGCACTTTTAATCAAATGTTAATTTAATAAAAAGTACAAAACTTTTTCTGACCCGGTAGTTGAATCCCAGACCCCTTGGTTAACAACCGGTCAGTAGCTTGGTTTATGCTGCACGGATTCTCATACAAACTTTCAAAAGTCAAAAGCATTAAAATGGGTTCAGTAGTCCTTGGAAACTACTGAACCCATTTTAATGGTACTCTTATGCAATAAACCTTGCTTAATTGAGTTTTTTTTAAAGTAAGAATCGGACTTGATCTATGTACTGTAGAAAGTAAAGAATTATTTGATATTTGCCGTGACCCCCTCCCTCATCCCCCTCTTACACATCTCACGTATTTTATGAAGGCCTCCTTACGTAGATAGGGTATTGTCCAGCCGAAAACGTATTTACTTGTTGTAAACGAAACAATGTTATTTTTTATGCATGTGTCCTCTACTTCTCACTTATATTATAAACGCGAAAGAGAACAGGACGAACCGCATAGAGATAGATTATAAATAGGAATACTAGATAGGGCACTTTTACCTTCGTGCTTACTCCGGGCGAAGCCACTGGCCACCGCTAGTTATAACTCAACTGATTTGGATTAAATGAAAAACCTATGCATATTGCATTTATTTTTTCTTGAAAAACACAACAGTACCTAACAGTCGTTAATGTCCTATATTCGAATTAAACACATGATTAATGAAAATACATAATTTGCCGATTTCCTTACGTTGCAAAACTTGTGACATTATTATACTTACATAACACTTTTAACGTTTGCATAACATAAACTGTATGGTCGGCAGGTAAAGTGTGTGTATGACTGATCAAAGTGGTCATAATATGCTGATGCATTCCGTTATGAATACATATTTTTAAATAATCATCGTCCAACAAGACGTGTTAATGATACCGATGTTTTATAAAGGCTTAAAAGTTAAATCTGTGTAAAGTAGAGCAAGTAAACTGAAAATGTTTAGATAAGGGTAACCGTAGAAGGCTTTTTGCATCAACATTTCTTGTGATAAGACGTCGACTGCTTTTCATTTATTCCTTTAATTTTGTCCAACATAGACTGCGGGGCAAGCGCAATGAGGCATTGTGGTCTCGGTATGGAGCAGGCAAAGGATTGATGTCGTTTTTAGTCAGTATAATAAGAGTCTGACTCTGCCTCTCGCTCCAGCATGGGCAAGAGAAGTAAATTTTAGATTTTCCCTAGCAAAAGAAAATAACTCTAATTTTGTCATGTTTGCTTTATCTAATGTTTTTAATGGTTCTAAGTGTTTGATAGAAAGAATGAGTACCAAGGTATGAATAGTCAGTCTGTATTATTTATCTATAGGTACTTACCCAAACATCTAGATATCTATTACCTATAAACTAAAAATCTGATACTTGATCTATTCAACGATAATTGTTATGATATCCTTATCCTCATAATATCCGTGTAATAAGATTTCTAATCGTAAAAATTCATCAAGGATTTAGATAAATAGCAGGAACTATTCACGTCATAAGTACAAATAGGTACAATAATTAAACTGGAATTTTCTTGAAGATATCCAATTCATTAATTTAGATTTGTTTATACAAAACTTAGTAATATATTGGCCAATTTATTTTATCCCCAGATAACGTTTTATCACTACTGACGCCATTGTCGTACGATTTGTGTACCTACACTCATATTTTTGTAAATATACTTTTTATTGACTAATCCGTCACACAATAATACAATCATAAAATCTATATTTAAGTACCTACCTACTAAGTACAAGTATGTATACCTACGCAGCTTATAGCGTGTAAGATTTGAGTACGACGATCTGAACGACAGAAAAAACAATTTCTTATTTCTTCTCCTAAACGGTCGGTATCAACATAGCTACACTTTACTCCTGGTTTTCACTTCCTTTGCTTAACATACCTACCTATGCAACTACACATTACTTTAAAACTTATCTATGTATTAACATTGTGTATGGATTACCTGTCCTCTTCAAACAACAGTGCTCTGTTCCTAGTCTGAATGACTTGACTGTGTTTATCAGCTAACGAACGAACGCTGCCTCTGTCAGTAACCAGATCCATTAAGTAACATTATGTCCGTTATACATAGATAGATAGATAGGTACATGACTACAAATATATTATGCCTCATGACGCATCGGGGAGATTCTAAGGTTAGAAGGTTGATTATGTAATGCAAGTCGCGTCGATCACGGGCTCACGGTCCAACGGCTCCAGTGCAGAGAACATGTGTGTGACTGTGACTGTCATGCTGCACGTAAACCAAAGATACGTAGGTACTATATTAATGTAATCCGATAATGTGTCAATGCGAAATTATTTAACACTAGCGACCCACCTCAGCGGTTGCACGGGATCAATGCTGGAACTATACACATGTATCTATTGACTTTCTAATGGATGTTATTATACAAAAGACTTTACCTTTCAATCAGTCAATCCTACCTATTAAATGCCGCATGGGTACATAGGGATACAGGGAAAGAGAAAGCTTAGTAATTTCCTTCAAATATTGATAACTTCACCCAGCGTTGAATGGCATTTTAGTCAATTATCGCATTTTTGGCATTATTCATAAGCCCCATCATCTCATGCAAAACTCAACGAGTCTTTAGCTATAACTACAGTAGGCAGCACGTGCTTTGTTCCTCACAATACTTTGCACTATCCAGTGATCTACAAAACTATCCCGAGAATTCTCTTGTAAGGTCACATTTTTTGGTTCTAGTACCTACATCTGTCCTTGAAATATCAATAAAAGAAATAATGTGATCCGTCTTAAAAAACAAACAAAGGCTAATGAAGAAGACTTCATAACAATGTTCAGGTGTTTGACTGACTTGTCAAGGACAAAACTAAACACGCAAAGTTCCACTTAATGCTATATATACAATACACACGCTTTTAATACTTAAACCCGACACACTGCGATTATCTACGATATGAAAAGTACGTGGAAAAGTATATTAACTACATGTACTCAACGTACATTTTAATTAAAAAGTGTAAAACATGAGTCATGTCATGATTGTGTGAAAGTTGTCTATAGCGTGATAATGTCTTTTTAGACCAATCCCATATTTCAGGCAGATTCATTTTATAACTGGAGTTATTTTAGTATTATGTTTTAAAACCAATGCTACTACATAATCAGGTCAGCGTTTTTTGGGTTTCATATGAATAGGTCCTAGATTAGCGAAAATTTTGTATTTTTTAGTTTTTGTACTTTATGACTACTTACAAAACAATATTGTGAGTTGTGATTTATATAGTATACCTCTTGTTATGTATCTATGGGCTACGTTATATTAATCGGATAAAATATTGCGACATATAAATAAACCTATGTTACTGCTTGCGGTTTCCCCCGTCGTAAAAAGTAGCCTATGTGTTATTCCAGAAACCAGACTATCTTTGATTTTATTCAAATTTCGTCAGATCCGTACAATACTTTATATTTTAAGTAGTTACAGACATCCATCCAGACTTAGCAACTTTCACGTTTGTAATATTAGTAGGATGGAGCTCTTCCTCCTTGAACCCTTGAAAAGTTTATGTAAATAAATAAAAACGATTTGTCTCTCGGTTAACTCTTTTCTTCATTGTGTGAGTGTCACTTTCAAAGTAACATTGGATTGCCAAAGACTGATTATTTCACAGAACAGAAAATTAAGGATTATTTATAAAGATTAAAATCAATTTTTTTTTTAAAGAAAACATGTATCCTACAATGCATTTTTTAATAAGCACTGTCAAAAACTAATCAGACCTTACAAAGAAGCCAAGTTGCTAACACTTTATAGCCAACCCTAGATCTACAAATCCTAATTCCGACAAAATATACCTACTTAATAGCAACGTTTTCCGCTATTAAGTTTGGAGATGTGCGAACCGTAGACACAACTACGGAGTGTACGCATCAGTTTCTTCGCCGAAGGGTCTCTCCTAATCTTCCAGATATATCAGTGTCAGCTAAATGTAGGTAATTTGTTTACATCAAACAAATACTTAATTAACATTTCGTCTGGCAATAATAATTAGTAAGAAAAGAAAACAACATACATAAAAATGATCGATTCTACTTTGTTTTCCAGTCATTTCCTGATACCATGCATTCTAGTTCAATCTAAAAAATAATCTTTTGATATCATTCTGATAGGGCCCAGCTAATGGATATGCGTGATAATTAGATATTAAGTTGATAACGGTTAAACACTATTCTGAGAATTGATTCATTACTTTTATCAGATGATTGTGCTACGGAAATATGTAAAAATAAATAAAAAGATAACCGACTTTACTTAAAAAGTAATAACAAAAAACGAAAGTACAAAGAAAAAATAGAAGCTTCGGAATAATTTTCGCTGTAGATTTTGTACATGTCATAAAAATAAAACCAGATTTTCCTGTAAAATATGGTTCATGCACTCAATGAATAATATTTTTACGCACATTAGGTACCTACATGCAATATTTTATTTAAAGGAGAAAAAAAAGCGATGCAGTCGGCTTTAAAATTATTATCACATCTATAAACAAGCTAAAGTGGACATAGTTTAGAGTTTAGGAAGAGAACATAAGCCAACCATACTCGCTCCTTTGCACTTGGTAGTTGCATTTACAATTACCTACTTTATACCAACTACGTACACTATATTTAGCTAAGAATGAAATTGTGGAATTTGACAATAAAATTACTATTTTAATAACAATAAAATAAGCCTTGCCCTATTTTGCGTCCTACCTTACTTAATTCTGAATAAAATGTAATGAAATAAAACGTATTAAAATGTAATAAAAAAATAAAATTACGTGTCGTTTAGTGTAGTGTATGACAAAATTGACAAGGACTGTTAAACTAAGTAGTCCCTGTGTAGCTATGCGTCACGCACTGCTTGGTTTTCCCTACGACCAAAGTGTGGGAGCATTTCCAACTAATTATCCTATCTAACGGGATTTACTTTAAGTTTGTTATTGTTTTAAAATCTCTTTTGTTGTAAATTATAACAAGGTACGATAAACGTAAGAGTTTTCAAGTTTGGGGAAGCCATGCTTCGGCACGAATGGGTCGGCTCGACCGGAGTGATAGGTACTGCAGCTTCACAGGAAACCGGCGCAAAAGCGCTTTGGCTTACTTCTTGCGAGTTAGGCTAACGAAGGCCCAATATTTCCCCTCTGCCAACTCCTTCCCAATCCCTAAATCTCCAAAACTAGGGTTTTGGTCCCCAATCCCCAAAAATGTCGACAACGCTTTCGTAACTCCTTCGTCGGTGCGGGCTGCGGGTGTCTATGGGCGGCGCTCTTCTTTCTTACTTCTTCTTTGAATTTTATACGTTGAGGTATGGGATTTATTGATAAGGGTGACCCTATGGTATTTTTGTGTCCGTCTTTATAATCTGTACTCAACATGCTTATTATAAAATACTAATTCCATACTTCTCGGAAAAAAATGGCGATAAGCATTAATATATTATTTGATAACGTAGTTATGAAATATCCTGAAAGCCGATTCAATTACCCTTACCTATCCTAACAGTTACATGATAGGTACATCAATAACCAAACAATGTTCCATTCAAATATTAATTACGCGAATCAGTCAATTCATGACGGAATCAACAAATTCGTAGAAAGACCTCAACCAAGCACATCACCCGAAAATCTCAAACTAGTTAAACAATTTTTACCTTATCTCTATGTCATAGAGTTGAAAATTACTGAAAGAGAGACGGATTGATATCAAGATTGATAGTTTGTGTTGGACAGTTCGCCTCTCGCATCACATAAAGCTAGTTACACTAATAATATTGTGTTTATTTGCGGCACCGACACGAGGATCCGCTGATCGGGCGAGCAAGACGTAAATAAAGCCACCGTCATCGCCATTCACTGTGATGTTGACATTAGGCGTTATTCACAAATTGTGTAAAACATACACGACTTGCGTTTTAATATTTTGAAGAATACTAGGTACTTTTTTCTTGAACTCAAGACTGCACTGTTGGCTGTGTAACTGGCTGCGGTACAACGTGTCGCGGGTTCGATTCCCACATGGAAAAACACGTTGTTTGATCCACTAAGTGTTGTTTCGGGTGGTTTGTTTATGTGAATTTGTAAGTTTGAAAACGCATGCACGGCACAGGAGAAAATCCTAGTGTGGGGCAATGTTTTTCTGTTAACTAAAAATGCTCTGATATCCTCTCTCCAAATCTTTGGAGAGAGGATATCAGAGCATTACTGACTAAGAACCACCCCGTTCCTTTTCCTTTTCTGCTGACATCGGCCCTGTTGGCCTATGCTTAGCCCGGAATGTCTTCTGAAGGTGGGGAATAAACTACTTGACAGTATACGGCCCCCGAACGCATTAAAATTGCTAGTCCTCTAGACAACTTGTTTTTTGTCTTTTTAGACCAACTCCAAGCATGGCAGGCGTGTTTTATTATTTTATCCTTACAATACCACCAAGGAGCGCACCGTGTCTATGGCAACCATACTATATGGCCAATCCTAAGCTGATCTCTTTTTGATATACCTACGTATTGTGACGTCACTTTCGTCGGGACGATCTATTCGACTGCCTTAAACCGACATTAAAAAAAGTAATAAAACATATTGGTCTTCCATGAAAAAACTTTCAATTTATTATTTACTTTTAAGCTATAACCTTGTATACCTACTTTTAATATTGTGTGTTAACATCAATCAAATAGCTAGGTAGGTACATAACAATAAGATAGCAAACTTTGAGTCAGTGGAAGTGCAGCGTAAAACTCAGCTTCTAACAATAAAAAAAATGGAAAATACCTAATAAGTCATATTTTATTTGACCTGAGTTGAACAACAAACGGTACGGTTATTCCATATTGTTATCGATAGGGAAATTCTTGAACGTCCATTTTGTGTTCACTCATTCATTATTCATTATCAATTTTATAATTATTATTGTTAGTTAGTTTAAAAATAATATTAACTTCGTTTCTGAATTACCTAAAACAGTTGTAAATCGAATGTGTGTGCAGTGGTCTGTCTAGTAAGTAGTTGACAAAATAATATATTGATAATTATGTAGGTGCATATATTATGATGTATATGACAAAGTTCCTGTTTTCGAAATAACGAATTAGTCACTTACTTGCAATAGGTATCTCAAACAAAATATCAAACAAAAATATTAAAAAATATATTCGAAATTTAATAGATATAGTTCCTTCAAAAAGCAACAAATATTTTGAAAAGAAGGCCTGACAGACTCTGCACCATTATCAACTATAGTTGATAACTATAGTTGGTTTGGGGCCCTAGATCTTCTTTACATAGACCTACTCCGGAGTCCTATATGTACCGTCTAACTAAATATAATGGTAAACATAACTATCAGGACAGTGATAATCACTTAAGGGGCTTCCCAACCAATAAAGCTAAAGCGATGAAGTATGAAATCAAAGAAACAATACTTAACACAAAATTCGGCGAGCCGCCATTGGCGTTAATAGTCATAAGCGCATTATGAATTACACCTTACATCACAGACTCATGGAACATAGTTACAAGTCACCAGCCAGTTTACTACGTGACGCTGAAGCGGCCGCATATTTACTCGTACCAACAAAATCTTTGGCAGCTTCCTTTAAAATCTCATCGTAAAACAAATCCGGTTATCTTGCAATGTAAACAAAGTAAAAAAACAGTGACACAGTGATTAAAATTATGAGCCCTTAAATTTATCAATAGATAGATGTGACGAGAGAAAATCTTAACGATAATATTTTCCGTAATTTTCTATTATGTCATAGACTCATTGCCTGACGCGTTTCCATGTGTATTTTATTTTAAATAAATCCCTGTGCTATAGTCATGTTGGACTTAAAATATTCTAATTAATATTTTCAAATTAAAAAACGTTCAAAATGTGAAATTTGATTAGGTTTTACATAATACACGTGTTCAGTGAAACCTTATTCTAGCAAGGAATTAGCGGTTTACTTTACGGTAGTCCAATTTATTTTTGTTCAACTGAGTCACATAAACTAGTAAATGTTTGGAACAATGAGAACACACTAGTTTGCATTTTAATTACATAATACGAAATGCATGGATCTTTCAACTTACACTTTTAGAAACTTTCAAACTCCTTAGATATAATGCGCCTTTTATTTCCTGCCTAATAACAACACAAATAGGATTTTAATAGTGCTGTCCCTACTGGGAATAAAAAACCCACACTAACTACAAAAAACAAGGTTTGCTTTATACAGGTGTCATTATTTCTGTACTTAGTTTTTCCGGCCAGTATCGGTAGTAGTGGGGAAATACTGACGACCTAATAAACAATGATACAATGGCAGCTACCAGTACAACTTGTACTGGTGAAGGTCTCTGAGTGCGTGAGTGATAGCGAACTGTACCTATGGGCAAAAATATTTTCTAGTTCCAAATGAACTAGCATTTCATATCATAGACTTGCATAATTAATTAGCAATTAGTATTAAATTAGCACATTAAATTCCTATTTAGGAAAAACAAACAAAACATAACTAAATATAGTTTTATAAAACATAAATAACAGGATAAAGTTTACATTAGTGTATGTAAGACGGCGAGACGTATCTTATATACCTAACTAGACTTTCCTGGTAAAAACATCAAAAATAAAATAACACTAAATTCTCAAGTGATCTTTAAATTTTTCTAGACCTCGTACCACTTGACTGGTATGTAGGTAATGTTACTTAATTCCAAAAAAAGTTAAAAATCAGGAAAGAGTCTGCTGGATACAGGTTTTACTATAAAAGCTAGATGGAGCATCGATAACATAAAGTTTATCTATGTTTTGCAATTGTTGCAAGTATGCGATCTACTGTATCGGAGTTAGCTACAATGGAATTCTATTTAGGTGCATAGACTTGTGAGTCATAGATTAGTACTATTTATGGTTACCAAGTCTACAGTCTGTTTGGTACAGACGTACCCGAAAATTGAGGATGCATCTGGTCATTTACGACGGGCAAAAGTTGTGTAATATTAGCCAATGTACCTACCTATGTACAACCAGTCTATGATATTCTTCTAACGTGTCGTATTTTGTTTGTTTTTATATCTATTACTTATAGTTGAACTCTATTGAACTCGAAACATAATGCAAGGTCGTTGCGATTATAAAATAATTTATTAAATCTGCTACTTATTATATTTAATACCTACTTATAACCAATATCTCTCACCATTTGAATTAAGATATTTTTCTAAGTAAGATTTTCTCCCGTGTTTTGAAAAATTCAAGTCTCATCGAAATCACGCTTACTCCACTTACTCGACATAGGACACACTACAATTCGTGTACTTGTCTGTTAGAACTATGTAAATATATTATGACTAGAATTTTAAGCGCACTTGTTTATGTAGGTACAATTATTTCATTGCAGGAAGCACTTAGTGAACTAATAAACAATGTAGGTAAAGGAAAATAATTGTAGACCTAAGGCTTCTTAGCAAAAGCATCGCATTACACGACTACAACAACGACGACATGTTTTTACCTCTACATTGGTTTTAAGTGTTTGTATACTAATAACTGTATACATACCTAGTATTGGAGTGCTAGAAAGCCCACATGAAACAACGCTAGCGTTGCGATTTTCTCACAACCTCCCCCCTTTCTCCAATCGCCAAATGCTCCAAGCCCAATACCATAAATATGTACCATAAAAAGCCGACAATGCACTTATAACTCCTCGTACTTGCGTAAAGTACAAAATACCTGATATAAAATTAATCCCAGTAATCTAGATAAGTTGATAAGACTGCGTATGTGTGAATACAACTTTTTAATACGAGAACTTTGGGAAGTACCTCTTTGCTTATAAAGATAAGATAATATAATAAATAGATCCAGTGTTTCCTTGTTTCTACGTAATTATTCAAGTGTTTACGTGCAAGGGCAATGACGTCACTCGTCGTGAATTTATTCACCAATAGGTACCTGACGAATGCATTTCCAATTATTGTTGTTAATGTCAACTAATAAGAGGTACATTCACTTGATTACAATTTTACGCGAAATTTTTTTTTTTAATTATGTCTACACTTGCTATTTCAAAAGGTCTTTCTAAGCAACTGCAATAGCTCGGTGGGTTTAATTTTTTATTTATTTATTTGGGACAAAAAACAGTTATACATTGCAGAATTAACAATAAAGTAGTTAAATTACAGTCGTAATAACGTATAACCCACACCATTGTCCACCTAATAACATATGAGTATAAGAGCGAACGCATGTTAAGAAAAATAAAAATTAAATTGGAATATTAGTTAACACTTACGGACCTATCGAGGGGAGCAGAAGTCGAGAGTAGGTAGGTACTTACTTATGTACGACTTGCAAGAAATTGTGAGACAAACGTAAAATTTCACATATCATCACTTTCAGATACGTAATAATAAGTCACCTGTGTATAAATATGTAGCAGATACTAAAAACCTACTAAGTACTATATATAGGTACTACGTCGTACGTAGGAAATTATTGTTAGTCTTATTTATAGTCTCTTTAAAATTAGAACAGCATAGATTAATAGGTAAGGAATTGTTATTTCTGAAACAAAAAAGTTTGTACCTATTCATTTGCCTAAAAACTACTTTTTGGATCTAAATGCAATTTTATATGATAGGATATATAGAATCTAGTTTTCAGCGGCTGGCTAGTAGGTAAATATTGTAAATAACAAAACCAGTAAGTTGGAACTAAATTATTTTCCTAAATTTTGTCATCATTACGTTCCACACTAATTGTAATGTTGTCAACTTTGAAGAGGAAACATAACAAGGGATTATATAATCGATGTTGTGTAAAGTTAGTCGTTTAGCAAACGGATTTTTTGGTTTTTGTTATTATTATATACTTACACCTATTTAAAAGTTTCAAACTGTTTGGTCGGTGAAGTACCAAGTGAGAAATAAATCATGAGTGAGTATTTGAGTACTAATCCTAAAGTGTAGGTTCTTTTATGTATTATTTATTAATAAAATGAATTTTTTTTTTATCTTGATGCTCTTATTCATATTCATGAAAAACGCATTCCTAGTTTGGCATTTTAAGTAACCAAATAATGTGTATGATCAGGAAGCACGCATTTTTTTTTATTTTATGTATAATATTGTGATATAAGTATTCTAAGACTTCAGAAGAAACCTAACTTGCATTATCTATTTATAAAAATTAGTTTGTTTTTGTACTCAGTCCTTAGTTTTACTTTTAGAAATTACTTTTACAATTAATATAAATTGCTAGTTCCACTATTGACTTAATATTCTCGTAACGTTTTGGTTAAGTGGGTTAATAATTGATGTTTAGAAAAACAATGGACATCTACGTGTTTTTGTCGGAGAGGATATACTTAGTTTACTTTTCCAATGTCACCTTTAGGTAGCTGTAGCCTCAATTTTAAATACATTTTTTAATGATTTTTAGTTCGTGTAAGTAGGTTATAAAGTATATGTATGTCTCTAATGTAAAATTTAACTAGATCGAAGCATAAAGTATACCTACGAATTTTACACGTTGACTGTTTTCCCGAAGGAGGTGTCTCTTAAACACTTAGACATAAAATACAACAAAATGGACTTAGGTACCTACTACCTACCCATTTCGTCTTAGTACGTTAAAACTTTAACCTTTTAAAATGACTACTTAAATATGAAATGACTTTGTATAAGCAGCAGGATCATTCAAATTTTTCAGGGCATGAATTATTTTGGTCTAAAAAGCATCGTGTGTTCTTATTTTCACTTTAAATAATACCATTTAGGTGCTAGTTGGTCGAAGAGTGTACCAAGATCTAGTTGCTGTGTAGCGTCATCTCTATATATTTCTTCAATGATATCACCGAATCTAACGTCTCCACCACTTAACCACAACCTCGGTACTATTGTGTTAACTCGGTATGTTTTTTTATTCAGCTAATGACGGGAGATAGGCACTCGTACCTTAAACATACACTTACCGTAAAATCATATAAGTCGCCGCAGCTAACGTCATGTCACACAGTCGTTCAAATCGTTAAAAACAAATATTGGAATCTATTTATAAAACGAGATATGAAAATTCTCTTTAAAAATATCTACTTACGATTGATTTGCTACTACGTTCAGTTTCGCAGACTATTGGTCGAGTAATTCTTATCAAAATAATTTACGATAAGTAATCTCGATAGACGTCGTCGTTCTGAAGTTATTTCTTCGAATTAGTGTTTTGTAATAACCAAAATTTTCAATAAGTGAGAGTATTGATGGTGATAACTCATAAATTATAAATGTGTGTAGGAGATTAAACATGATATATTGAAGTCAAAAATGGGCTGCTGCATTCCACCGAAAGAGTCCAGTAAGTTTTATTTCGTCAATAACATGTGTTTCTATTACTAATTTACGTAGGTTTAGTTTGATACGGTAACTGTAAAAGTTGTAGGTAAATAATATAATAATTAAAGAAACAATTAGGTACATAACGTTTGTTCTACCATTTTATAGTCTATTTACTAATACGCGTGTTATTTGTATTGAAATACTTATTAAATCAATCAAATATATCTATATTATTAAGTAGTACCTATAGTAGTGCTAGGTACGACTTTTGCGTACTGATGACCCGGTTAATCTTATCTAATAAATTATTATATGTAAATAAACTACTTAATTAATTTGAAATCTATTTTATATGTTTTACAACTTGAGTAGGTAGGTAAGTTCGTAGTTTGCAATGGTCTTGCTTTTTCCTGAAGGATATCCAATTATAATAATATTATTAGTTTCAACAGATAGGGATCAGGACTAACATCTAAATGGAATTACCCGTGTTATCTGGTAACACGGGTGGTACCCACCTATACCTAAGAAAAATGGCGGAAAATTGACGATTACTTACATTTTTTTCTAAGATACTAAAAACTAAATACCTAATATATTTTTTTAAATATAATTTCTTATCATTTCAGGAGAGCCAATTCGGTATGATCCGGATTTCAACGGTCCCATCCACAACCGGTCCTGCACAGACATCTTTTGGCTAGTTCTGTTCATACTCTCTCTTGGAGGATGGGGCTATGTTGGCTATTATGGTAATTGGTTTTTTAATTAAGTAATTCATATTTTTTCCTTCCTCGAAAATGTAGGAAGCCAGCTTTATTATGAGAGACTTTTAAAGTGTTTTTTATTGTAAAAAAAATCCTGCTCTAAAATTTTATTATAAATAGATAAAAATCTATTCCAGGTATGACACACGGAAACATTGAAAAACTCCTCGCACCAATCGACACGACCGGGGCACGATGTGGTCTGGACTCCAGTGTGAAAGACAAACCGTATCTTGTATTCTTTGATATTTCCAAATGTCTGTCACCAGGCACTCCCATCGTTGGCTGTCCTACGCCACAGGTACGTACTGACAAAAGAGGGACTTGCTTCTTTTAAAAATTATCAAGATTTTTTCTATATAAATTACCATTATATTTTCAGGTTTGCGTGCCAAATTGTCCATCCCGAACTATAATTTTCGGCGCAGAAATGAACGAGCAAAATTTCGGTGCATATAGATCCGACATGGTGTGCACATACGATGTCAATGTTAACACCTTGACTTACACGCAAGCTGTTGAATACATATCCAAAGGGAAATGCGCTCCGTACGTACTGGAAAGTCAAGCAGGTAAACTTTCAGTTTTGTTTGTTCTAAGAGTACGAACATATCACTGTTTGAGTGAACCTCTGCCACTAATTATTGTGACGCTTAATATTTCTTTCGAGTGGTTTATTGTGTGGCATGTCCCTCAGGATATTCTTATTTAGATTGTTTGACCTAACGTTACCCTGTGAGATATTGTATAATAACTACACTGCAGTGTTATCCCGTTGCATCGGCGATCTGTCAACTCTACAATGCCAGGGAGACAGCAAGTCGAGTCCAAAGACTCTTAGTAAAGTGACCGACAGCTGCGTGAGGAACCCTAGCGAGGCTCGCAAGTCGTTGGTGAACAGAGCGACGGCTCTCGACTCTTACGTCGGCTGGATTGTAGCCAGCTGGATGTCCTTCTTCAAACAGACGGACGAGCGCGAAACACACATAGTACGTAGCGCGCGATCCTGCTGCGCCTGACGCTCAAGCACGCGTAGCTAGAAGCTTTTCTTTAACCCTTGTGCATGTGCACCGCTCCTTACTGACCAACGACTAATACGACTAAGTCTCCTAATCAAGTCTTGTAGGAATGCCCTGCTGCACTGCTGCACTGTTCTACGTATTAATTTCCTATACCTAACTGAATCTTCTAGTTGTAAGCACATTTACTGCTCCTTCACATGATCATAATTTAATTAATTAAAACATAAAACTGATCTATACATTAACATCGCGGTCGACGCTGTGCATGTTTGGTGATCGGCGCAGTGATGGGACGGTGTTTCGTGAACGTAGCCGATGTGAAGAAGATATTACAAAACCACAACATCACCGAGGAGGAGGTGATCTCACAAATCGTAAATCTGGTGCAGTTCCAAGAGGTAGATAGTGTTCATCTTAGCTCATTAGCTCTTTCTTATTACCTAAACAATTTTAATTCAATATTTTAATTATGCATGTATCTATACTACATCTAGATATTACTCGTAAACTTGTAATTCCCAACTCCAAATACCTAGTAGCAAGCTACTACTTACTTCATCTTATAGTTGATAAAGTACCTATTGGAAATATTTAAACCTTAATTACCTACGCATTCTAATAACATAAGTGTTGTATAAAACCCATGAATATTCACAGTAGCTGAAGTTATCTTGATCTTCGTTCAGTTAGTAAGTAGGTTCTTGTTGGTTCTTCATGTTATTGAACAATGTTTTGCGTTTTGAGCCGAAGTTAAATGAGACCTACCTTTTGTTTTAAAGACTAGTTAGTTAGCAAAACATCTGTATTAAGATTCTTAATAGTGCGTTCAATTGAGACATCAGAGGTCACAACAATAGATACACAACCAGCGTAAAAAGTCCAATCTTCCACAGATTGAGGTATATATAGAAAAAACTACTTGAGGTCAAAGGACATAAATAGGTAGCTAACATGGTCATCGCAAACAAACAATGTATTATCCCTTATTTTAAAGTCGGGTAAAAGATTGCCCTTTGAGGTTCATTTTAATACTTTTTTAGAATATTCTGTTAACACTAAATAGGTTCCTTGTAATTTAATAAATAGGGATATAATATCTGTGTAACTAACATTTTACCTTAAATTTGGTGATGGACAGTAGATATCCTTATTTGGTGGTGGTAGTATCCGTTTGTAAAATAAATGTTCAAATATAAATTACAAAACCACATTTTTACAGGAAAATTAAAATTAACATATACCGAATACCTACCCAAATTCATTGTTTCATTGTTATATGTTTTTAATAAAATGTATTTTTCATACAATAATTAGTTGTCGGCGCAAATAGTGCAAGACTTGGTTCAGTCAAGATGGTACTTGCTGGGTGCTGTCTTCGGAGTCGTGATCCTATGCTTCTTATACATCCTGCTGCTGCGCTGGGTTGTTGGCCCAGTTGTATGGGTCTCCATCGTTGGACTGATCGGTCTACTCGGGTTTTGTAAGTTTTTTTATATAATTTTTATACATCAAGCATTTTCACGGCTTATTTTAATAGCTTAGGTTTCTATACATATTTTATACCGCACGTAACGTTTGTACCGTTTAGAAAAGTTTGGTGTTCGATACTGGTCAGTGGTCATTACGAAATAAAATCGATAGGTACCAACTTATTTGACAATATCAATTGAGGAGCACGAAGCCTATTACTTAATACCATATTGCCTGATATATCGAATATAGTAAATACCTTAACCATCATTAAAATAAATTACAACTGTTTTTATCACTAGGTAGGTACTGTTGGGTTTATACCGAGCCAAATACACTCTTGTTTTTGAAACTCCTAAGTACCTACTATAACAATTCATAAAAATACTTATCCCATTCGTTTCAGGCGTGTATCTATGTTACAAAAACTATGCATACTACAAAGCCAACCCAGGGTTGCTACATCAGACGACTAACCTGAAGGGGTACGCTGAATCCATGTTCACGAAGCCTGGCACCTGGATGGCGATCCTCATCGCAGTGGCGATCATCCTCCTCTTTCTCGTGCTGATGGTCATTTTCCTTAGAAAAAGGATTTCTATTGCCATTGCTATCATCCGTGAAGGAAGCAAGTAAGTATTTTAAACAACAAAATAAGTAGTCTTACGATATTAATAAATTATTAGGTACAACAGCGTATAAAAATAATCACTCTCTAATTTTTTGTGGTTTTAAGTATTATTGTAAAATTAATTACCTATAATATAACAGTTTATTGAACTTGCTTATTTGTTTTCAGAGCCGTAACAGCAGTAAAGTCTACAATATTCTTCCCTCTATTCCCGTGGGTCTTCCAATGCTTCGTCATTGCTTACGGTGTGTTGGTGCTCATGTATCTCCTGTCTATCGGAGAGTCCGCCTTCAAAATAGTCAACCTACAGAATGACACTACTTGCAGCTGTAGTAACGGTATTTACACCCAGGTATGGAACATTATTTCACCGAATTATTGTTACACTTACCTATTTAGATACGCGATATTCCCATACAATGATTCAGGTATCAAATCATTGTCGGTGCAATTTTCTAAATTCGAATTTCAAAGTAACTTACGACGTTAGGAATCATAAATTAGGAATCGATAACACCTCGAAATATCCTTTATATCGGTAGAAGTCGTAGATAGGTACCTACCAATCCAGTAGACATTGTGAAACAAGTCATTAGTTTTAATTTTCTATTTATTATCTTCCAGGACTACCAGTCGTGTGATCCAGTTACATTCCTAACGCATTGTTTTGATCAAAATGGAGGCTCATGCAGTAAAGCCATGTGTCACTTTACCGGTCTCGAAAATCCGCACAGCGTTGTCTACTTGCATTGTACGTATGGTTATATATCATGTTTTTTGATATAAGTACCTACCCAATAGATACCTTGCTACATAAGACATAAAGATTAGTTGTTATCGTACCCATGGTTCTACCTTTGGACTAATAGAGGTTGTTGTAAACTGTTTTCGTTCGGCGGACTCGCAAAGTTTAGTCCATGATGCGCATGCTTTATCATACATGTCGGAAAATGCTGTTACGCGCTACAAGCTATTTTAGATGAGACCTCATCTTGGCAACATTCTAAATGAAATTGAAGTTAGCAAGAATAATCGTCTCAACAACTTTTAAATTATTCAAACCCCAAGTGAACGCCTATTGTTATTTTATTTTCTCGAATCACCACGATTGAAAGCTTTATACGTTGGTTACAGTGGCCAATTTATTGGGTTTCTTCTGGACAATGTTCTTCATCAGTGGAGTGTCTGACATGATGCTGGCCAGCACATTCTCTACATGGTACTGGACATACGACAAGAGAGATCTTCCATTCTTTACACTTACCTCTGGTATATACAGGACAGTACGGTAAGACTCACAGTACTATGTATATAAGCAATATTTAATTTGATTTTAAGGGAAATATTACCTACTTATTGACACAATCACGAATGTGTACGAATTTAATTTATAACAATTAGCTTATTTGTTGGTACTTACTATAATATACCTAAGAACAAAAACATAACTTAGGCCTATCAAATCAATGTAGGCTGATATTTTTAGTGGAAGTGACATACAATCTAAAAGTGTTATTTTAACACCTCTCTATCGTTTTAGGTATCACTTGGGTACCGTGGCTTTTGGAGCGCTGATAATAGCCATAGTTCGAGTGATTCGCGTCATACTCGAGTATATTGACCAGAAACTGAAGAAGTTCGACAATCCGCTCACGAAATGTCTCATGTGCCTATGTAAATGCTTCTGTTGGTGCTTGGAAAACTTCCTCAAGTTTATCAATAAGAACGCCTACATTATGTGCGCAGTACACGGACAGAACTTCTGCACGAGCGCGAGAGACGCTTTCTCATTGCTCATGAGGAATATCTTAAGAGTCGTCGTTATAGATAAGGTACGTATTTATATTTAACGATTTTATAGTAAGTAAATGAATAACGACATTAAATGTCCTTTTATTTTAAAATTATGTTCCACAATGGTTGTCCCAGCTAATTTTATGTAAGTAGGTAGAGTCTATATTGATCGTGACAAAAAATAATTTCAGGTGACAGACTTCCTGTTCTTCTTATCAAAATTGTTAATATCAATCGGAGTGGGTGTCGGCGTGTATTACCTGCTGCAGTGGAACTTGCTGTACGAAGTGACGCAGGGTCAGCCCCTGCACTACAACTACATTCCCGCCATTATACTGAGTATCGCCACTTACCTCATCTGTACAATATTCTTCAACGTCTATGAAATGGCCGTTGATACATTGTTCCTTTGTTTCCGTAAGTATTTTATGATAGATAACTATTTACTAATTTTATCACGCAATTAATAATCGTAGAGTGAGCGTAGTCTATATAGACCAATTTATAATAATAAGTATTAATACCACTTTTTTCTTTCTTTTAGTTGAAGACTGCGAAAGAAACGATGGTTCACCAGAGAAACCATACTTTATGTCGAAAAATCTTATGAGAATCCTAGGAAAACGAAATAAGGAATTATAAAGTGCCAAAAATAACGTACGAGTGTTGTGAACGTAAAATTAAGAGAGTAAGTTAATCGTGTCAATACTTTAAATCATTGTCACAATTAATATAATCACTGGTACTTCGATTTACACGTTTTATAGGATTTTTTAATATATTTCTATTTGTAATAATTTAGATGTGTACTCGTTTACAGTATTGTATCATAGTTTATAATTATAGAAACCAAATAATAATTTGTTATGTACGTTTATAAAATTTATAACAATGGATATCACACCATTTATAAGAGAAACTGAGATTATTAAGATATTTTATGATAAATCAAGAAATATTAAACATTTGTCTGATAATAAATTAAGTGGTTTGTGATACTGAAAATAAATTTTGTGAAATCAAGGCTTGTATTTTATTAACCAACCAATTCGTGATACGTAAAATGTTTCAGAATAAAGATTGTATTTGGTAAAATGAAACAAAATAACATCGAGATAAGACTGTAAATGCCGTAAAAAATGCGCACTCACCACACGCTTCATTGAATGCATAAATTCGCTTAGTGAATTTCCAACTGCTCTTCATTGTCACATGCTCAAAAGACAACCACACCAACATATATATTTACTGTATACCCACATTAATCCTTCCTTACACACTTCTTCAAGTACCTATCTTAAATGAAATTCAAATGAAACATAAAATGTTCACTCCTCCATAACATTATTTATTCTATGTTGTGTTAGGAATGCAACATCGAGCATAGCTTCAGGGTCTAGTAGTTCTTTAACATTGTCATACTTAAGGCTCTCTTCATACGCAAACATAATGCTTGTATCATCTAGCAACATTTTGGAAGCAACTAAAGCTGCAATACAGTTCCGCACTCTTGCCATTGTTTCTCTATCTGATCTGCTAATACACTGTAACAGATAGTAAAGTGTGGTTTAGCTATTATATCTAGAAAAATGTATGTATATGTGACATGAATATAATATGAAAGTGTTATTGCTTCACTACAATTTGATAGTCTTCAAGGAATTTCGATAACTGAAAAACCCTACTTGCATTTGTAACTGTGCCCACTCAAACAGATATAGATTTAATAATGCAATAATTAATATAAAATTTCATGTCCAAAGTATTCCGGATACTATCGGGAATACTTTGGACATTGATAGAAACTGATGCCTATTATTTTATTCTTAGGTAGATTTCCAAACTTATCATAATCTCAGAAAGTCAAAAAATCTATAATTTGAATCACTACAAACAATTTCTATGAAATATCTCAACTAGAAATATAAAAAATCACAATACAACAATAAAGATATATTATTATTAAATTTACATTCTTACCTGCACTTCAACATTAACAATTTCATCTTTCTCTTCTTCCACCAAGTTATTTTGTTCTGGCGGACTGATCCAGATAAAGCCATTGTTGCCAATGATTACAGATATACCACATGGCAGGTTGTGAAAGTGGTTCTTTCTGCGTTTGATTAGTGAAGGGAACACTTTCATTAATATACCCTGTGAAAGCTGAAACATGAAATAATGCAACCTTTAAAATCAGTCAAAATGTGATAATGAATTACAAATTAATTTCAATAATAATGTCTAGCTGACCAATTTAGTTCACAGTGGCCAGATCATCTAATAGAGCAACATATGTATTATGCAGGAAATAGTAGTGTGCAACTGTAGATAAAAAATGCTAACAGAATACTATGTTTGCTGCCAAGCTTATTAGAATTATACCTTGCCATATTTCAAACTTCTGGTGTGTAATGACAGTGAGCCATCTGAGAACACGCTCTGTACTTCTGCACTGATGAGGTCACCCTCCTGTAAATGTTTCCTCATCATCTGCTCATCTTCAGCTGATCTGCGTCTCTGTAATTGAAATATATTTTTTCTGAACAATTTCAATTGTCAATTTATTGTGGATGTGAGTATCCTATGTTCATTAATTAAAGAACTAACCATTTTATTGAAGTAGGTCGAAAATTAGTTCCAATCTTCTTTCTTTATTTATCAGTCAAAGTTCTTTCATATTAGGTAAGACATATGGCCAACATTCATTTGCAGTGGAAGTATACAGAAAGGTCTTTATGCACATTAAATGTTCAGCAATGATACATTGCTTGTTAGTCAATAAATAAGCATATTATAGTATAGTAAATACAAAGAACAACATACCAACTCTCCTCCAGGTAGATTTACAGATGACAACTGTAGCACTGAGTCCAAACGGGAATTAGTTTCAACTTTCCATCTCCGCTGCTGTACTTCAAGAACTCGTCCCACTACCACATCTCCAATTTCACCGACGTACCGATTCTTCAAAGGTCGGACACATATCAATTTGTTTACCTTTTGCATTACTCCCGCTACGGAAGCTTTTAAACAGTCGTCTGATGCGTAAGTACCATGTCCACTGTAATTTTATATGAAATTTACTAAATAAGAGTATTTTTATTTACAAAACACTATTATAAACAACACTGCCTAATCTTACCGCATAAAATCCTCCATGCCTGTTACTACTTCACCGGGTGTATAGAATCGAGGTAGTTCTCTGTTCGTAGGTACGGAGTGATTCACTCTTTCTGAAGCTAAACGTATTTTTACGTGGCTCGCCATATTTTAAGTATTTTAAATAGTAAATAATTATTCAGTAAACAACAGGTCTCCCAACAGGAACCAAACCAAATTCTAACCTCACTTGTTACTGACATTGACAGATATTACTGGCAAGTACCTACCTACCTACCTACCAAAAAAAAAACCATCGACAAATATGACAAATAAACTTCAGTAAACCTTATTCACAGAGTACATTTTAACAATAGGAAACTTATTAACCTAAAGTTAATGAAAATATTTTTCAATATTCATTATTTTCACAGTTTCTGCTGCACTTGGCACTGATTGAATATAAAATACTTGCGTCAGAAATGAAATGTGTAAGTATATTGACTGCATCATTGTTCAACTCATGTTTCATTTGTGTAAAATCGGTTGAGTTTAAATTATTATGCATTAACCTGGCTATACTTGAATCTCACAGCCCAGCGAGAAATTAAAAGACTTGGCTTAAAAAACTTGTATCCAGGCCAAAATAAAAAAAAAAAGTCCAGCGACAATTCCAATCCAGAGTTAATAATACATCATACTGTCAGCAGTGTCAGCTGTCAAAACAAAATGGAAGTTGTTGTGGTTATTGCAATTTGTTAGTTTTTTTACCACATTGAAAGGAAACCAATATATTTAGGAAAATGGCTGGAATGTCGGCTGCAAATGCAGCTCCCATTACAGCTACTGACAGTTTATCACAAGCGCTGAAGGCTAATATAATTCCTAATCAAGAATACCTTTTACAGGTAGGTGACTTTGAATTATTTGATGTGTTTTAAAAACTTTAGGCTTTGCTTCATCCTATTTTAACTGTTCTTACAGGGTTCTGTGTTGGATTCGGCTGTAGAAGTTTTGCTTCATCGTCTTCGAGGTTTGTGTGATAACGTTGATGCTGGTCCGGAAACATTTGATGATCAAGAAGTTTGTTTTAGCTTGCGTGACCCTAACCAACAGGTGAGTATCAATTAACTGAATATTCGAAAGTTTAAAAAGCATATTTAGGATGACATTTACTTGTTAGTGGTATGGGGTAACCTGAAAGCAAAGTTATATAAGTACATACCTCTCTATGCTAATGATAAATAACAAAAATATATGCTATAATTCCTATGAAGACTGAAGTATCAGATAAAGTGAGATGAACAGTACAAATGCTAGTCTCTGCATTACAATGTATAATAACACCAAACTAGGTAGATATACATGGGAGATAGACAGACAGTTCACACACAGACCTAAGAATAAACAAAATTATTGTCACTTAATCATGTTTCTATTGCTTCTCTTTTCAGGCTGCACCATTAATGTTGAGAGTAAGGAAAGCCCTGGACTACCGAGACATGCCATTTCAACTTCGTTACATTGGACAGCCGGATCTGGGAGACAAAAATAGGCCCACAGTAGTGCGATCAAGCTTGGATATAGCTTGCAGTGGAATGCTCATAGATTTTCTCAATGAACTAGGGTGCAGGATTGAATTTGAATATAGTGTCAAAGGTAAAATGTTTTAAATACTTATTTTGAATTTTAATGCCTTTTAAAGTGAATTTTCTGCCAATAAATATTTCTTTATCATTAAATGATCTGTGTTGAGGAACGGGCAGGGTCTATGGCAATTTCACTATTACTACAGTAAAGCCAACATATCTTGGCGAGTCTGAAGTTAGCCATTTGTCTGCGCAATGGATCTTTTAGGAACAAAATTTTGTTCTATGCATCGGCTAACTTCGGACTCGCCAAGATATGTTGGCGATATTGTGCATGGGAGTTTTCACAAATTGCTGTGTTGGTTTAGAATATTTTGGACACTTCAAACTTTACTATATGGGAGTTTTCACAAATTGCTGTGTTGGTTTAGAATATTTTGGACACTTTAAACTTTACTATATGGGAGTTTTCACAAATTGCTGTGTTGGTTTAGAATATTTTGGACACTTCAAACTTTACTATATGGGAGTTTTCACAAATTGCTGTGTTGGTTTAGAATATTTTGGACACTTTAAACTTTACTATTACTATATGGGAGTTTTCACAAATTGCTGTGTTGGTTTAGAATATTTTGGACACTTCAAACTTTACTATATGGGAGTTTTCACAAATTGCTGTGTTGGTTTAGAATATTTTGGACACTTTAAACTTTACTATTACTATATGGGAGTTTTCACAAATTGCTGTGTTGGTTTAGAATATTTTGGACACTTCAAACTTTACTATATGGGAGTTTTCACAAATTGCTGTGTTGGTTTAGAATATTTTGGACACTTTAAACTTTACTATTACTATATGGGAGTTTTCACAAATTGCTGTGTTGGTTTAGAATATTTTGGACACTTTAAACTTTACTATATGGGAGTTTTCACAAATTGCTGTGTTGGTTTAGAATATTTTGGACACATCAAACTTTACTATATGGGAGTTTTCACAAATTGCTGTGTTGGTTTAGAATATTTTGGACACTTTAAACTTTACTATTACTATATGGGAGTTTTCACAAATTGCTGTGTTGGTTTAGAATATTTTGGACACTTCAAACTTTACTATATGGGAGTTTTCACAAATTGCTGTGTTGGTTTAGAATATTTTGGACACTTTAAACTTTACTATTACTATATGGGAGTTTTCACAAATTGCTGTGTTGGTTTAGAATATTTTGGACACTTCAAACTTTACTATATGGGAGTTTTCACAAATTGCTGTGTTGGTTTAGAATATTTTGGACACTTTAAACTTTACTATTACTATATGGGAGTTTTCACAAATTGCTGTGTTGGTTTAGAATATTTTGGACACTTCAAACTTTACTATATGGGAGTTTTCACAAATTGCTGTGTTGGTTTAGAATATTTTGGACACTTTAAACTTTACTATATGGGAGTTTTCACAAATTGCTGTGTTGGTTTAGAATATTTTGGACACTTTAAACTTTACTATTACTATATGGGAGTTTTCACAAATTGCTGTGTTGGTTTAGAATATTTTGGACACTTTAAACTTTACTATTACTACATGGGAGTTTTCACAAATTGCTGTGTTGGTTTAGAATATTTTGGACACATCAAACTTTACTATATGGGAGTTTTCACAAATTGCTGTGTTGGTTTAGAATATTTTGGACACTTTAAACTTTACTATTACTACATGGGAGTTTTCACAAATTGCTGTGTTGGTTTAGAATATTTTGGACACTTCAAACTTTACTATATGGGAGTTTTCACAAATTGCTGTGTTGGTTTAGAATATTTTGGACACTTCAAACTTTACTATATGGGAGTTTTCACAAATTGCTGTGTTGGTTTAGAATATTTTGGACACTTTAAACTTTACTATTACTACATGGGAGTTTTCACAAATTGCTGTGTTGGTTTAGAATATTTTGGACACTTTAAACTTTACTATTACTACATGGGAGTTTTCACAAATTGCTGTGTTGGTTTAGAATATTTTGGACACTTCAAACTTTACTATATGGGAGTTTTCACAAATTGCTGTGTTGGTTTAGAATATTTTGGACACTTCAAACTTTACTATATGGGAGTTTTCACAAATTGCTGTGTTGGTTTAGAATATTTTGGACACTTTAAACTTTACTATTACTACATGGGAGTTTTCACAAATTGCTGTGTTGGTTTAGAATATTTTGGACACTTTAAACTTTACTATTACTACATGGGAGTTTTCACAAATTGCTGTGTTGGTTTAGAATATTTTGGACACATCAAACTTTTATTTATAATAAAATTAAGATTACTGTTGTTTTAACTGTTATGATCATTCATGCATATTTGGTATAGGCGATCATCCCACCCCTGTTGTGATGCCGGGGTTGCGGGGTAAGCGCAATGAGGTACCGCGACCTCGGCACAGAGCAGGAGAAGGAACAGGGGGGTTTTTAGTCAGTAAGAGTCTGACACTCCCTCCTGTCCTGGGAGAAGTCATTTGATGATTTTCCCCTCACAAAAAAAAAAACCCTGTTGTGATTAGTCAAGTAAGATTTTCACTAACTTTTGCCAGTTGGCTTTATTGTGTCATTTCAGACTTATCACTCTCATTTCTAATTTTCATTCAGATCCGTTTATTAGTTTTGATCTGTGAAAATGTAACAAACAGCCATCCTTACAAAATATCCTGGTTATAATTATTATTAATTTTCAATTTTACAGGTTACATGTTCAGAAAAGGTCGCATGAAGATAACAGTTGCAAAGGTTTTCAAGATATCCCAGGGGTCAATGCCCCCAGAGCCTATATCTCAGAGTTATCTGGTGGAATTATCAGTGAGTTTAGATTTATTTAACCATCAAACTTTTTACAAATCCATCAATTTTTCTACTGTGTATCAGACATAGCCAAATGAGATCACAAAATTATGTTAACCCAACCATACTGTAAATATTTTACCAACATAGTACCTTTATTATTAATTACTGTACTATATGCGTACTTGCAAGGGTACATAACTATTCAAACACTTATTCAACATCTAATTCGACAAGTTTTCCAAACATTCTATATAACCTAATTTATTTTTATTCAGGTGCTGGCGCCTCAAGGGCAAGACGCGATTGCAGAGGATATGCGAGCATTCGCAGACCAGCTACGTCCCCTCGTTCAACTTGATAAGATTGACTACAAGAGGCTCGGACATATGGGCGTCACATAGCCCATGTTCCTCACTTAGGCTGGCCTCACACCGACCGACGCGGACTACGGTACCTCATCGTGGACCCAATAGGTTGGTGTGAAGACAGCCTTAGTTGTGCAACTGCACGTTACTGGATGAACTGGACTTTTAATTTACCAAGCAATATTATATCAATACCATAGACATAAAGTGCTGCATAGTTTGATAAACATGATATGGTGTGTTACTTACATACTTTGATAACTTTTATTTTTTTTATAATGGCAACTTGGAAATGTGTTGTTAACCAGTGATTCTTTTACTAGAGAGGTCCAGTACCCGGCTATAAATATTGCATATCGACTTTGGGGAAGAGAAAAATTTTATGTGAAAAGTAATTTTATGTGTTAATTTGAACTAATTAATGTTTATAAAGTATATTCATCTTTTTAAACTTTACCTGTCCTGCTGAATACAATATTTCTTAATTATTTTTTGTCTGATAAGTTAACTGCATGTCAATGTCTAACTCCGTGCAATTAGGTATTTATCTACATGTTTGATAATAATTAGCAGCCAATGTAAAGAATAATAGTAACACAAATGTATCGACCGATAATTAATATTTACATATTTAATCTGTTCCCTAAGCAATAACAATTTGTAATAAGTAATCATTATGAACAACTCTAATAGGTTCAATAGTTAAGCTAAACAAAATGAATAATTTTAGGCTGACATACTTGTGTGTGTATCTTTCTCCATACAGAGATGATAACAAAAAAAAATAGATTCAGATTCAACTTTACGTTGTATGTATACTAGGTTTAATTTTCTCTAACATGTATTACATAAATTATTGATATAAAAATACAATTGTGTCATACAAAATCTGGGTTCTTTTTTGAGTGATACACCGTAATATGATCCTCGCCGTAATCCATATCTTCGTATTTGTATCCATGAACGTAAGCGAAGTTACCGAAGTACAAACATTTTTCGTATTTAATCGGGGTAAATGCTAGAAAAATAATAACTTATTGTTTATCACTATTTGTAAAAGTTATATCTATATTAATACCTACATAATGCATCATAAGCTAATTAATATGTTGTTTGGGAAGTTCAGTAATAATTCCGTAATGATATACATAGACAATGTAACTGTGGTAGACAGCAAGAAGCGCCGTAAATTATGGAATAGCTAATAGGTAACATGGTTAAGTAACAAACCGCTGGATTCCATGCAATTGTACAAGTCCATTATGCAGTGATTGTCGAATATAAACGTCGAATTCGATTTGAAGTCGAACGCGCAGATCTTTTGGAAATACGTGGGACAAACGCCGCACCTGTGGGATAGAATTATTGTTTATTTATTTTTAAAAACATTTGGCCCGAATATAAGGTAAATAGACATCGACTCTTTTAATTAATAAATCATAACAATTTAAATTAAGATTGAGTCAGAAAATCTTCCTAGAACTTTGACAGCAACGAATGAGCATTTCCGATTTTTTTTGTAGATTTTATCATACAACCTGTGGCCATCTGGTGCGGGGTTAAGACGATAATTTAGCGGCTCTATAGGTCCATAGTCCTGTGCCTCAACACCTGCAGCATAACACGTAAAATATTAATTAGGTACATCCACCATAAATGTTTTTGGATGTCTATAAAACGTAGCGAGGCATATCACTTACTAAAAACAACGCAAAGTAACCACAAAGTCAATCTTACATACATATTCCTTTTTAAAGAAATTGTTCAATGCAATTGCTTACTTTCTTATCATTTAATTAAATGCTTATATGAAAATCATGACATCAATTTAATTAAGTTTTCAACGAACGGAAAAGTGTTCTTTGGATTTTTTGTAGTCTTCAATCATCACTTGTTTCAATTTGATAATGTTATATAACACGGAGAACAGGTCCGCCGAAGAGTATTTTATGCAAGTAACATGTCTGTGAGAAGCAGCAAGGTAGGTAGTGATGTGGCGAGTGGCGACGAACGTGAGCGGTATCACGATTGCAGGGATGAGTCACTCGCTCGCCGGCAACCTGCTTCATCGCGGATCCGCTATCCACACGATAATTATTATAATGAGATGCCCACCCCCTGACCCCAAGGTGCAGATAAGACGTGCCAACTTGCTGCGTCCTTTAATTGCTATTTCAGTTACTGACTGCTGTTTTTGTATTGGTAAGATAGCGGGAAAGGCCAGTTACAACGTGATTACTTTGCGTCAGGTAAACAGTGGCTCAAAGAGAATGCGACCCGACTTTGATGTTTGGAAAATACGTTTAATAAAACTTGTTTGCACGCGCTACGTAAGTAGGAAGTGTTGTATTTTCTCTCTAAAATACTCAACTATGAAATAAAGTTAACCTAACGCGACTGCCGTCAACATTGATTAGACCATCCTTTACGCACGAATCACGATTACTCATTATCATGCATCATGCGTAGACACTTATGAACACAGCAAAGGCGCGTAGGCCGATCGGTTGCGTGGGCAGCATGTCAGGTAGGTGCTGCGGGGTGCGGGCGAGGGGATCGGGGAGGGGGGAGTAGGTGCTGTCCACACCAGACTCACTGGCGCTGCGCAGCCGTGCCGGTTTACCTTGACGCTCACCCAAGCTGTAAAGCCCTTAAACATTGATAGGTACCTACTTCGGATCACTGCATTCTAATTGTTGACTTGCCTGATTTACGACTAGACCCGAGGTACTTTACCTACCATTTAGTTGTGAAACTGATTATGATTATCTAGGTGCCTATGTGCCGATGTGCATGCTGAAGACAAAACAATAGATAGATATGCGATTAGCTAACTGAACTTGATAAGTAGTTGTCATGATAAGATGTAAGTGTAGGTAGGTAACAACACTAGGTACATGCATAAAAAAATAATATCGCAAAATGAATGCCAACAGTTTGTATCTATGAGTATTTATTTAGTTGTTAACTAGTCGGTTTAGATAGGATAATTTTTGTAGGTTCCAAATCTGGAGAGTACCTACAAACCTACAGTTACCTACAACCTAATAAATTCATGACTGACGGTTTGGTACCCACATAATCACTTATTATTTACCACATTAACATTTGCGCCTGCCAATTGCCTAAAATGTGCCTTTACCAAATTATACAATAAATTCTATTTAATTTAATAAGTACAACATACGTATGTGGATAAGTACTTACGGTATTTTCACTGTCACAGCCAATCACAGGTAATATTAATGAATGAAAATGGAAATAACATAAAACAATGTTAGTCATTGTAAAGGACTAGTTGTTTGTAGCAATAATAATAATAAATAATTAACCATGGTGAATGAACAAAAACAATGTTCGTAGGTACGTACTTATGCCGTTGGACGTCACGTGGTCACGCGTCATTTCAACGGCGAATGAAGAAAATGGGTGGCTGTTTCTATGGTGGGTACAGTACAGACAGATACAGAGTGGGTGTGCTAGCTTGGCAACTTGCCGCTACTTATTATAACAGACTCTATTGTGTAATAGCATTCTAATTTTAATAAAGCTGTCTAGGTGTCAGTAGGTACCTACCTAACTACCTGTGCAAGTAAATTACCTCATTGAAAATGAATTTTCATAACAATCTTTGAAAAGTGAAATATTTTTTAATTATTCAGTGGTATAATACTTTAAAAAAAGTATCATTCTAATGTTTAATTTCATATATCTTCGTTTTGCTTTTCATCAATAACTTTATTTCAATAATTAAAATAAACATTTATTAGATTTATATAAACTAACTTTTTTCTAAAGCTATTGAAGGAAATGGTGCTTCAAACGAAGTACCTAGTCCCAGTAGGTACCTAGTTCTACGCAGTACCTCCTTTGTGCGATATCTATCTACATTTAATCACATTAGAAATTGTAATTAAGTACTCATTAGATGCACCTGATTAAAATTAACATATTAATGGTTGTTTTGCTTGTTGACTATTTATTTATTACTGTTAACACGAATACCTCGGCAAAGGATCTCACAGTCTCTCGGCTCCATTTCTACTTCAATTGCGAATATTTATCGACACAGAGAAGCACAGAATGGTAAAGACAAAAGCTCCAAGTTTAATGGTACGATTAATTGACCAGTAACAAAGAACTTATGGCCTAGGTACTTAGCATGACAATACGAAGTCAATTTAGTTTAGAAAAAAAATGTGTGTCATGTTTACTGGTTAAACCTGAGTTATAGTGTGTTATTAAAGTTGACAAATGAATCCCAAGAACCTTTGACGTAATTCCAATTGGATTATCAAGGGTTTCTGGATATTACATTGGACTACAATGAACTTATAAAAAATCTATGAGCATTATATGTAGCATATAAAATGTATCAATAATAAATCATTGTTCAGACCAGATACCTATAATTATTATGCATGGCAATGTAACTTGAGCATTTGACCTTCAACGGTTCGCTGGCTTCGTGTCTCTGAACTTAATAACTCAAGAATGCCCATAATGGTTATTTGCCCTTAATCATAAGGACAGCTTGGTAATTCGCACATCTGAACTTAGGATTCTTAATAATAATATGCCAAAAGGAGATATAGGAGTGCACTTTCATAAATAAATATTTAGTAGGTGTGTTACGATAACTTTGCCGCCCGCTTTGATGGTTTTTCCCCGGTCAAGCAAATGTTGTGCTAAGTTCTTTAATATAAAAATTCTCTGAAGGTAATATGAAATTTATTTATGGAGTTGTTTGTTCAGTGGTTTGTAAAATTTACGGTTATAGAATTGGTTGAACTTATGCCATAACTGGAATAACAGTATCTAAGTAAGTACCTACTATCTACATACATAATTTTCTGTGCTTAAATATAGGTATGTAAGTATGACATAATAATGTGGAAAACCTAATTCGACCAACCAACAAAAACACTTCGCGAATAAATAGCAGTGATTTGCTTATGCCAAATTGTTGTATAATAATAAAATATTTTTATTAGTCTATGCAAAACTGTACTGCAGTCTCTTCTCTCTACGTTGCATGCCCTCTCCTGCAAACTGTTGCCTGAATATGAATCTTTATGTTAATATGTTGGGTGAAAAGGCAAAATAATAGTCTATAATAAAATAAAATTGCATTTTTTGGGCACAAGTATATCTATCTGTGCCTGCTGCACCTACCTGTCCATTATATTGAGCGGGGCTTTAATGCAAGTTTCTTGTGGCGCTTAGGCCTTTTATGCAATAAACACGAATTACATTACAAACTTTTACCTGAGCTAATCGTATAGAACATTATTGCTTTGTAAATTGACATAAGGTACATTGTTAGGAGCGCAATAAATGCCTCAATTACATTTTATTATAGGCGATCCCACAAAATCTATAATTTAAAAATGAATCGCAAAATGTGTTGGTAAGCGCATAACTCAACAACGCCTGGACCAATTTTGCTAATTCTTTTTTTGTTGTGTTTGTTATTGTCAGGAGAAGGTTCTTATCAAAGAAAATATTATGAAAGTGGAGGGGAAGATTAGGAAAAGTGACCCTTTGATAGCGAGATACCCGTGCGAAGCGGGGGCGGGCTGCTAGTGTAAAAAACAGCTGAGACCTAATTCTAACCGAATTAATTGAACCCTTAATCTATAAATTATTATACATTTAAGTAACGGCTAAATACTACAACGACGTACGGTGTAACCAGCGAATCAGCCACACGGAAAGAGTCTTCAAACTCTAAACCTTAGTCAATCTGGCGTGGTCTACCGAAAATAGTTAGACCGATAATAAATATAAAAATTATTGTACTTGTATATTTTGAAAATAAAGACCATAATTATGACAAATAAGTGTAAGAGAGCCATGCTTCGGCACGAATGGGTCGGCTCGACCGGAGTGATACCACGGCCTAATAGAAAACCGGCGTGAAACAACCACAGCGTTGTGTTTCGACTTGTGAGTGAGGTTATAAATTTATGCGCTACAAACTAAGAACTACGAAATACGAATAAGGTGCTACGAACTACGCGCTACAAAGTACGAACTACGTGCTACAAACCTTGAACTACGCGCTACGATATACGAATAAGTGCTACGAACTACGGGCTACCAACTACGTGCTACGAACTACGCACTACGGACTACGCGCTATGTAGTACGAGCTACGTGTTACGGCTATAGAATTTCGTGTGCAAATGAGATCTGATTTCTTTTCAAATTTTGTATTTTAGACATAGACTCGTCTTGGAAACTTTTTTCAATTCAAGTAAATGTATTTTATGGAATGTCATTTGATATAAGCTTTAATCTACACACAGTCAAGACACTGTTAGTAAAACATTCTGTACAATTAGGCATAAGTTCGTATCTGTTTACTATACGGCTTTTTTTTCGTCGGCTTACTGTGTTGTTTGAAAAGTATAGGCCGAATATACATATATACGTATACGAATAAACGTACACAGGTACATATTCAACACGCAATAATGTTCACTGCTAATATGTTCAATGTTCGTCATGTTATAATCTACTAGTTACTACCAACTACAAGCTTGGAAGTAGTTAAACATCAATCAATTCTATCTTTGACAAATAGGTGCGCGTGTGTTGAGAGCAAGCACCAAAACAAATTATTAGGAGTAAGATTACGAGCCAAAGTAACACGGTGTACTTACCTTCATAGTCAGTTAGAATAAAACGGAAATTAAAACAGCCCACAATAACTTGGTGAAGTTTGACTTTTTGAAGTTGGATACAAATAAAGTGAAATCCATCCTATTAGATATTCAACAATATACTGTGGATTATAATGTAATTAATGTAAACAGCAGAATAGAACACATCTCAATTACATGATAAATACTATAGGTACCCAGTCAACATACCCTTCCCCGACGGAAAACATCTTGGCTATAATAATATTTAACTCGTGTGTTGCTATTTACATAGGTAGAAATTGGAAAGCGTATGGCATGCGCATTGAGCTAATTCTTTAAATGTCCATTAGTCATTCAGGAGAAACCTAGGCCCAATGGTAATTTATTCAGCGGATTAGACAACTCTCCATATAAAGTGCGACCCACCTCAGCACGCCGGCCAAGTTGCTGCGTAGCGGCAGCCAGCGGTGCTCACTACTCGATAAATTATCTACTCGCACCGACAACGCACACATGCACAGTATCACACCTACTTCGACACGCCTATTTATGTGTAACGCCAATACATTATCTATGTAGGAGTAGTGATGCGTCCACAGAGCACGACCACAGCATGGATTATACATATTATATTCCTTTGTGTTGACATTATCCACATGATGCAAACATATCACTTGTAAAGATTACCTACCTAGTAGATAGTTCGGTACTTACCCACACAGCCTACAGAGAAGTATGATCTGCTTTACAAACAACACAGATAGAGCTTTTTACTCGACTCTATCCTTTATAATTATATTTTTTCTGGAACATTCATTACTTAGTTAAGTATTAAAATTACATAATAAAAGACGCCCTAGTTACTAAAAAATCTCCGAACAAGTAATAACAAGGCTTCAAATAATTCTGTGAGCGAGTAAAGGCTTAATTCTGCGTAACTCATGTAGAGTTACAATATTTTCAGGTTGTGCAACAGCGAATGGTTGCTGCTGTTTTTATTCTACACGTGTTGTAGGTATTATAAAATAAAACCTGCGACCACCTGTTTATCGAGAGTTGATTCACATCTTTCACGATCAACACACTCTGGCCATTTATTGGACTGAGAAATGACACAGTATATCATGAACGCTACTTATTATCTCTATATGGCTACTAGATAAATAATTTGGATTCATTTTGTACGGAGCTTATTTGAAAATTTTAATTTTAGTGATTGCATTTCATTTATAGTTCATAACAACATCTTAAGTGTAAACGCTTAATGTGTCACTTTGGGCACTTACAGTGTAGTAACCGCATGTACACATATCTATAGGTCCCACAGAAATCGTTATAGTGTTCTGTGTTTTATGAAGCCCCAATTATCTTGAACATATATTTTAAAATACATTGGCTCATCAATTAAATTTTCCCGTCCAAGAAACTGTGTCGTACGTATCAACTGCCAAATGTCAATGTGTGCGTCAACATATCGCCAGATTCGTTTTCTGAGAAGCGGTGGCGCGGGCGCAACGGCTTGAGGTGGGGCAGAGAGCGAGAGGGGTACAGGCCGCGTCAGGTCCATAATAATGCGGCGGGGCGAGGGCGGTGTAGAGCCCGGGCGCCGGCCCTGCCAGACAAGTTGTCGCTGAACCCCGGAACCAATGTTCGGAGGCCTCCCCTGCCCCGCGCACCCGCTCGCAGCAAATTACTTGGCGCACCCAACTTCTTAACTAACCAGTTTATAACCTATGTGGAATTAGTTACCGATAGGTATCATCATCAATGCAATCTGAACGTATTTTTTATATTAGAAAAGCTGTTATTTCACATGTTGCTTTTAGCGTCCATGTGTTAGGATAAATTCAAACAATTTTTTTTCTAGTCTGCAAAGTCGGCTTATCTCTGCAAGGTTGGTACCTCAGAAAGAACTTTCTATATCTCTCGGATGAACAATAAGTATAATAGTAAATTTAAAATTTTGTCGCGACTTTACGTTTAGTGTTTTGGTCATTGATTTGTGCAATTTTGAATGTTCCACCGACCGAGCGGACATACTTCCACAATGACAACGAGCCTGAGTCATTCTTTGTTTCAAACTGGGTCATCTACTCCATATGGATTTACCACTAATTGATAAGAATAACATTTTGTAACAATTCATTATGGTCTTTACATTCGATTGGAGTATTAACTAATTTTATGACGCAAGCAGCGCGCTGGATTTAGTTTAAATCTCTGCTTTAATCACTTCAAACAAAGGAGATTAATATATCCAAACAGATTTAGTGTAGGTTCCTATCGCATCACTATCTCGGCTTATCAGGGCTGAAGTGCTGAGCGCGGTGTCGCCGATGATCCTCGTTGCGCCACAGATATTTATGACATCGGTCACACAGTACGTAGCAACGCTCGGGTGGTCCGCCCGTGTGGCGGAGGCGCATAATCAACAGGAGTTTATCAAGAGGGCAACCGTTAAAAACTTATGGAAACTGATATGAACTCGTTTTAATGATCTCAGCCAATAATAGCCGCTCGCTGCAGTAGTGTAAAGTAGCTTGCGCCATTACATTTCCAGGAAGGTAGAAGGTAGAATTGGTATTGAGAGTCAACATAAAGTACGTAGAATCGAAAAGCTCGAACCCCTACCTTCGTAGATGATTTTTATGTGTTAGTGACTAGAAATTGGCGTTAATGCTTTATAATAGATTGTAGCATATAGAATTTGCAGTGGATATCATTCAGATTTTTCTTTACACTTTAAACAAGAAGAAAAGTCAAAATCTTAGCTTGGTAACGCTAAATTTAGGATGCCGAAAATATTTGTGTCTTGGCACGTTGACATTCGGTAGGTGTAACAATGCCCACAAGAAGAAATGTAAGTGATTAGCGTTTCCATTGGCACGATTTTATTTGCGTCACGGCCGGTCGTCGTTCCTGAAAGTGCACGAAAAATATTCATTGTCACACCATTGACCCTTGCCTTGAAGGTAAAGTTCACTGTTCACGTTTTTGTCACACGCAGTTATGTGTATGTTAACTAGTCTAGTCTGTCAAATTATCAGATTATCAGATTATACTCATTTATAACATAGAAATATCAGGTGATACCTATCTATTGTCACACCAGCTTTTCTCAGACTTGTGTAGTAGTAAGGCATTTATTCCGTTAATCATGGGTTTGTGATAACTTCAAGGAAGAAATGAAACAAATGATGGTTACTATTCTCGGCAAACATCAAGAAAGCCTTCAAGATATTAAAGTTACACTGAATGAAATTAAAGAGGTTAATCAGAATATTGAAAGCTCTGTTGCTTTTCTCAAAGCACAAAATGAAGATTTCAAAAAGAAAATTGAGACTCTAGAAAATCAGGCTAAAGAAGACAAAAAATGCATTCACTTACTAGAAGATAAAATTGAGGAGCTGCAGAAAAGTCAACGGAAAAGCAACTTTGAAATTAAAAACGTACCTAAAATTAAAAACGAAACGAAAGAAAATCTATTGGAAATGATGACCTGTCTTGCCAAAAACCTGGGAAGTGATATGTGCGCAACAGATGTAAAGGACATTTACAGAATCCGAGGAAAAAAGACCGATACTCTCAATACTTCAATTATAGTTGAAACCAACTCAACTTTGCGGAAAACAGAAATATTAAAATTAAATAAAGAATTTAACATCAAACATAAGAGCAAATTATGTGCGAAGCATCTTGGTCTCCGAACCTCTGAAGACACTCCAATATTTTTGTCGGAACACTTAACGCCTCGGGGATCACGACTCCACTTCCTCGCACGGGATTTAGCAAAGTCTAAGGAATATAAATTTTGCTGGACTGCTTACGGGAAAGTATATGTCCGAAAAACTGAAACGTCGCCTATTATAAACATCATAAATGAAGCCCAAATACAACAACTAATAATGGTGGAAAATTGACTAGACCCCGATTATGATTCTTTAACTATATCACAAAATAATACCTTTTTGAGCTCTTTAGCTATAGTTTGCATAATATCTCTTTATACTATAATACTAAATTGTCCATATTATTGTAAAATTATATTTGCTTTGAGTTTGCTAGTAAGTAAAATTAATCTGATCTTAACTGTTACACAAAAACCATGGTATATCTCATACTCGTTCCTATATAACCACAAAATTCAAACAATGTACATACACACATATGTCTACATCATACAATATACCAATCAACACGAATTTCAAACAATCTACATACACACACATATCTATATTACACAATATACCAATCAACACAAAATTAAACATTCACATTCCATATATTATTATTATTATCCACAAAATAGTACTATAATAAATGTAAACAAAACAATTCTATGCAATAAATTAAAATTAACAGCACTTCATAAATTAATAAAACTATATTTTAATCAGCCTAAACTAAATGAACATCATCATTTAATAAAATCAGTGCCTATAATCTTGATAAATGGGTGACCTCATTCAAAATATACAAGAAATAGACAACTTAAATATAGCAAAAACAATAGCATGTGACTGTACAGAATTTACTAAGCTTTATAAAGCAAACAAAAATGACTTTACTGTTGTAGCTCAGAATATAAGAAGTATATACCACAATTTTGATGATTTCATTGTAAACTTAACTAGTTTTAATTTTGAAACTGATGTAATCGTATTAACAGAATGTCGCCTTAGCACCCATAAACCTATACCTAATCTAGATAACTATTGCTCATTTGTAACTACATGTCAACTCAACCAAAACGACGGAGTGGTCGTTTATATAAAAAATAGCCTAAAATCGAATGTCAAAGAGATAAAACTAGTCCAGGCCTCCTGTCTTCAAGTTGAAGTGTTAAATAACATAATTATATGCATCTATCGCTCACCATCATTCAAAAATGCTGAAAATTTTATTGACTCTCTAGATGCTTACATATCCACCCTGAGATCGCAAAATAAAAACATCATTATTACGGGCGACATAAATATCAATATAATACCCAAACCTACGGAAAACTCCTATGAGTATAAAAATAGGGCGGCTTATTTAAATATGCTTACCGCCTACAATATCTTTTCTGGACACTCACTACCTACCAGAGGCCAGAACTGCCTGGACCATTATATGCTCAAAATAAAAAGAAGTAAAATCACAGCATTCATCGCAATCTTGCATACTTCCATTACTGACCATTTCACAACATTTCTTTCATTAAGTAAAATAAAAGCTCATCAAAATGCACCTAAAATCAATACTACTACGGATTTTGAAAAGGCTCTAACATATTTACAAGAAAAAAAGCTAACAGATCTACTCTTTTGTAGTGACCCTAACATACTAACTGACTGCTTTACTCAAATAATAATTGATTCTATAAAAAAAAACACTATAACTACAAAAATTCCAAGAAATAAACGTATAATCAAACCCTGGATCACCTCTGGCATTCTTAGATGTATTAGAAATCGAAATAGGCTACAAAAAGAGACTCGTAATGACCCCTTTAACGAAACTAAAAAAATTACTTACACACGATACAGAAATCATTGCAATAATCTATTAAAAAAAATAAAAAGAAAATATGAGAGAGAAATACTTACTAAATCAACTAAAAATAACAAACTGCTATGGAAAAATATCAAAGCAATAACTTATACTACTAAATCTAAGAAATTAAACACGGAATTGACCTATTTAAAACCGTCTCCTATTGAGTCTGCTAATTTTGTTAATAACTTCTTCGCTAATATAGGTAAAGAGCTAGCTGAGGACATTCAACTGAATATGAGTCTAGATGATCAAAATCATTACATTAATGAGCTCCCATCACAACCTCAGTCATTTACCCTGTATGACACCGATATCGATGAGGTTAATAACATTATAATAAATCTGAAATCTGACAGTGCCCCTGGGTGGGACAACATTTCAACTAGGTTCATTAAATTTGTTAGACACGAAATTACTCCAGTTATTACTTATCTAGCTAATCTTTGTTTTAGAACGGGCACCTTCCCTTCTTTATTAAAACAATCAATTGTTACTCCTGTCTTCAAGGGTGGGGATAGAGACGACGTTAACAATTATAGACCTATATCAGTTCTTCCAGTAATATCTAAAATCATAGAAAAATTATTAAATAATAGGTTACTAAATTACTTAACTTCTTTCAACATATTATCCCCATCTCAATTTGGGTTCAGGCAGGGTATATCAACCGAGGATGCAGTAACATCTCTTAGTACTCTTGTTGTAGATCAGTTAGATGTTGGCAAAAAATGTCTATCAGTCTTCATAGATTTAAAAAAAGCTTTTGACACCGTCTCTCTCCCCATCCTTGCGAAAAAACTTGAAAAAATTGGAATCAGAGGAACACAGCTCTCTATATTTAAAGACTATCTGTCTGATAGAAAACAAAAGGTTAAACTGGAACAGTACATCAGCGATGATATTGGCATAACATGTGGTGTACCACAAGGCAGCGTCTTGGGGCCTACCCTCTTCTTAATTTACATTAACGACCTCTGTAATATGAAGATCAAAAACGGCAAAATTTTTTCTTATGCAGACGATACTGCCATCGTTTTTTCTGGGTATTCTTGGGATTCCATTAAAACTGACGCTGAATATGGTATGTCTAGGGTTGCTAAATGGTTAAAGTATAACCTCCTTACGTTAAACACATCAAAAACAAATTACATTTGCTTTACTATCAATAACAGAACACAACCCAGTCAAGATTTTAGATTAAAAATACACGTATGTAACGAAAATGATAGTACAGCAAGAAATCAATGTGATTGCTCATTAATGGAAAAAGTGTCTTCTTTTAAATACCTAGGAGTTATACTAGATCAGAGACTATCATGGTACCCACAAGTTGAGCAGATTACCACAAGGATAAGGAAATTTATATGGATGTTTAAATCGCTACGCCATGTAGTCCCAAAAACGACGTCCAATAACCCCAACTACGAAAAAAACCTCCTAAATGAAATTTATGTTGTCTTAGTACAATCCATAATATTATATTGTATTCCCATATGGGGCGGGGCTCTCAAAACCCGGTTTTTAGAAGTAGAAAGGGCTCAAAGAGCTCTTATAAAAGTTATGTACTTCAAAAAACAACGTTTCCCCACTCTGAGTCTATATCAAGTGTCCAACCTACTTTCAGTTCGAAAATTATATATTGTATACACCATACTAAAAAAACATAAAACACTAACCTATGATCCTTGCATAGAAACTAAACGTAGGAAAAACATAGTCGCAATTGTTCCTATAACAAAGACTGCTTTTGCTAGTATCCAATTTAAAAAACGATCAGCTTATCTTTACAATAAAGTTAATAAAATATTACAAATTTTTTCGAAGACCTGTCATGAGTGCAAATCAGTATTGATAATGTGGATAAAAACCCTAAATTATGAAGAAACTGAAAAAATATTGTTATACATGGAATAAACATGCATTGATTACAGAAACACACACACACACACACACACACACACACACACACACACACACACACACACACACACACACACACACACACACACACACACTCACACACACACACACACACACACACTCACACACACACACACACACACACACACACGCACACACAACACACACTCGCACACACACAACACACACTCGCACACACACAACACACACTGAACACCTACTGATACTATAACCTACCCCAACTTCTTGGGGCTCTTACAGTACATCTTAGGCTAAAAATAAAAACTTACCTACTAAATATAATTAAAATACAAAACTTATGCTTACATGTCTTGCTATGCTGTCAATACGTTAAGGAAGAGCGGAGCCTCCTGACACAAGCATATTTACATGCTTAAAAGGAGACTCCAGCAACTAATTATAAGAAGAAGTTTTGTTAAAGAAAAATAAAGATTTTGTATTTTGTATTTTTGTATTTTTGTGTGTGACTAAAGTGAAAGGGGTCGTCAAAAATCAGCCTTGAAGTCATATAAGTCAAAACTTTTTCTTGTTTAACGTTGCCAAGACGAGGAACCATAAATGGCTTGCGCTGTCAAAAGTTACATCTAGGACTCATGTAACATAGAACCTGGCTTCCTACGTCTCAAACCTCAAAGGTTCTCCTTTTGTTTCGAAACATTCAATATGGAGTCGAAATACAACCTCTATTAAGCAAATCGAAATAGATTAGTGAAAATGATCGTTAGGCGTCGTTGCGAAGTTGTGTCAAACACGTGGTTATCACTCGATTATTTAATGTCTAATTAACGATTGTTTACCATTTTTACATATGTTTGCCAATTCCCAGATAAAACATCGATGTCTGAAATGTAGACCGATAATTCATTCATAAGTACCTATATTGTTTTGACGTAAATTCTATTTGGAAGCGAAGGTCACTCGTACCCTCTATTGATAGCATATTGACAGATAATGTCTATAGCTACGTTTTATCATCTTAGAAGTTCCAGCAGCAAGAAGCAAAGCAAAATACCATTTTGTTTAAAAGTCTACACACCAACTTTATTAAGATGACTTTTTCTCTTCCTACTATATATCCTTTCAGCTGCCAGTATATATATGTAAGTAAGACTTCGAAAGTGAAAACTGCTACTGCAAGCGAAAGCTGCAGATGGATAGAATGCCTTTACCCGTTACATTCCATATCTACTCCTTCTGGAAATTCTGAATTATAAGAACGCCTTGATTACAATGCAGCTAAGAATAATTGATTCTTATACGTGGTGGTGTATTTTGATTTTGTAACATGTTTTTTTTTTCAATGATTGCCTATATTACCGGTACTGACTAAATAGTGGCCAAATGTAATATGACTAAACGTTAAAAAGTGACGAACATTTGTATTATGAGATGATGAAGTGACAACGAATTAGTTCTATAACTTTGGCAACATATACACCTGCGTCACGGTCGGTCATCCATCAGTAGGTACCTACTGAAAAATTCTTAACTCATTGACGTGTTTCTGTCCGGAGTAATTTGTCCCGCAAGCCCTCAACACAATTCTATTTTCTTAGCTTCTATCCATAGTCCTACAAACAGTATAGATAGAACAAGAAATGTCGGATACGAGAAAAAATACAAAAACCTTTTGCTTTAAAACACCAGCAATGGCAAAGTACTTCTAATAATTTGTGCTTTCTTCATTAGGCTTGAAAATTTCTCATCTTAAACAGAACTGATTCTTCAGTAAAGGGTCGCAGATAACCTAAATAGCACACGAAGTTGAAATTGTATATGATAACCTTGACCGACAGTGTCATTCAATCTTTCCGCCATAGCTATTATATTATAGTCTATTACCTCAGCTATCAGCCTATCATCGCAAATCTATTGTGGCAACTGTGAATAGTTCGCGTGCTACCGCTCAATGTTTAGTACGTGATGTACAGTCAGCTCCAAAAGTCGATGAACAGAATCAACTTTTCAAAACACCTGTTCACAATAAAATGCCATAAGTTATAGTCACAACTAGGAAAC